TTATCATGAAAAAGAAGAGCACGTAATATACATTTTTCTTCCGATTCATTAAGTCAATGGATTTCAAACAAAATTGCATTTTATCTGTAACACAGTTCCAAAGTAGGTCGACGCTTTTAAGATCGAGCTCAATGAATTTAGGTTCTCATTCACATTAATCACGCGATAGATGTTCAAGTTATAAATAACTGTATCCACAAAACAAGGCATGACAACTGGCTTTCTTCGGCTCAGGAAGTCCGGTACCAAGACGGTCGCATGTCGCATCGTTAGCAATGAAATAATGACCGTATTCGTTGCGTGCGCACGCGCGCTTGCACAAACAAACGGCGCCAAGTGTAATTTATACCGGTAATGTTCAATGAAATTGTAACATGAAAGTGAATCTGAATAAACTACTGATCAACTGGCATATTTTTTGATTTGTCAATAGTCTTATAGGTGACAGGGGAGAGGTGAAATAAAACGTGACAGAGCAAGACAAGTCTGAAGCACATCTGAAGTAAAAAAATAATACAAAGAAAACAGAACGAGCGATTTTGCATGAAGTTCTAAGCTGCTACAATACAACACATATCTTTAAAATTATTCTACCAATTTTTGGGCATTCCACTTTTCTTTGAGTCGACTGCAGGAACCGCATTCATTGGGTGTGCCAAAATGCACTCCAAATACGACCACAAGTTCGTCATTCCACACACACTCATTAATTTGTGCTGTTTTACCATATAAAGGCAGGCATGAGCCAGTTAACTGACGCATTTAGTCAAATATGCTGCTTACCTTCCCCATAATCTAAACCAAATGCTTCTCAGGACATTTTTGAAGGCATGTATTCGATTTGGCAGGAATGTGGCCAAGGATACACAAACCATCGTTAAATTACATCTATTGCAAAATATTCCTAAATGCTTTTCCATAATTAGTTAAGTTACCGACGTTACCTACCGTTGATTATAATTATTGATAGTCAAATTTTATTTTTACGACCATCATAATGTGCTTCGATCGACTCATAAATTTAAAATCAATTTATAGTTAATTTACTTAATTTAACAGAATATGTAATTACTAGTTGTGGCAACTGACATAAGTATACCTATTATGTTTAAAATATACGAGAAAATTAAATAACTACGGCATAGCGACATTAAACCCAACATCTAAGTAGATACATTAGGTTTCCAAACTATGATAAAGTTTCACTATCCGGTTTATAAATTATAAGATCTACTACTTTCTATACAAACCTATACATCAAAATTAAAACCAACTACTATCTTAAATACCCTATCAGAAATTGATATGATATTTCTAATCAGTTCTTCCGCTTTCCTCTCAGAAATCTTTACCCATTTCTCACTATTGTTCCCTCTTTGTTTGCAGGAAGAGTTGGACTTGACAGCAGTAAACAAGGCAGCCATGATGGAGCTGCCAGCGGCGAAGAAATGGCAGATATACTGCAGCAGACGACCGCCGCCAGGGCAGGCGCCGCCTCTCGCCACGGCACCTCAGGTTGAGGAGTACATCAAGGCCCTCAACGAGATTGCTGACGTGAGTTTATGATTCATAGATTTTAAGCAACCCCTTAGCAGGACAGGTCGTTGGAAATCCTTGGGGGAGGCCTTTGTCCAGCAGGGATCAATGGTGGATCAAGTGGATGTTATTTGTCTGAAACCATCGAACCTAATCTTAAAAAAATGTAATTAAGGAGCCATAGTTGAACTGTCACCACCTTAGAAGTTTGTGATAAGGGAACCATAGTGGAACTGCTAGTTGCAAAAAAGTGGCAGATATATGGCAGGCTCCCGCTACCGCAATGCTGGTTAAGGAATTCACATGCTAATATTGCCAAAGAGAATGTTTGACCTAATGATAAATTTATGTTTTTAACGGGATTGTTCCTGCCTCTCATTCCCTCCGCTGCAACTTCTGTATAGCCAGGATCTACAGCTTGAGCGCCAATAAAAACCCAACTAATGAAGGTCAAGTTTGATAATATTATGTTTTTTTTTTAATTCTACTCTATAAATGTAATCCGCAATTAAACCTTAATAAGGATTACGGCCATAATGACTCAGTCAAAGTCAGAATCTGTCATGGTCTAGCATACTTGTGCTTCCTGGACCACGTGACACGTTCACCCTACAACCACAATACAACTGTGTCGGTGCCGACTCACTGCGCCCGCGCCGTTGTTAGCCTCGTGCATTTATGCATGATCCACTTGATGTCTGTTGTGATGTCTGTATGTCATACATAGATACATGCCAGATGATAATCACCAAACTGGTAAGAAATTTGAATACAATGAGACTGGTTTGTTTACAAGCTTGTAGGCGAGATTGTTGTTTTTTTTTTTGGTTAGAACTGGAATACTGAACTACCTTAGTTGTTTCCTGCTGTCTAATCTAGTATGTCGGCAAGTGATCCATTTTTTACACAGCACTGTTTAAAGGAGATATGTCGTTATCTGTATCTGTAGTTTTATGTGGATCTTCAGACTGAGAATTTGACATTGATAGTATTTCAAACAATAAACTTGTTTTCCCAGGCATTTGCATCATCAGAAGGCATCCCACCAGTAGAAGCGAGCGCCCTGGTCGATGGTCTGAAGACTGCGCTGCGGACGCGGGCCCACAGCTTCGTGCTGCGGTTCATCAAGCAAGGAGGCCTGGGCTCCATACTGGACGCCCTGCAGAGGGCGCCACGGGACGACGCTATCACCAGGCACAACCTCATCGCTGCCATCAAAGCGCTTATGAACAATTCTGTGAGTATTCTAGGTCTTAGATCCTGTAGATAAGATAAAGACGGAGAGAGAAAGAGAGAGATCTCCTGAAGAGATTCCGGTTGCTAGCTACCTTTTTTTAGACGATGATTATAATTCGAGATTGTTATCACTACGTCTACAAATTACTCACGTAATAAAAAAATATCCCTACGCGAATTTACTGAATCAAAATTGATAACATTGTCTTGAATTAGAATTTGAATTCTAGTTCAGATAAGGACTTGTCAGCCTTAATGCCTACTATGGGATTAGCGGAGTCGAAAATGTGCAGGATATGCCACTAAATATCGTCACCGAATGTGAACTTGACATTGACTCGCAACAACACGGACTGTAGGGCGAATTAATAGCGGCGATCACAATAGGTTTAAATCGGTCGCAGTGATCTACTGAACTAGAACTCAAACACAATGTCCTAGTCTCTACTACTCTACCCAAAAAATTCCTTTGCAACTAAGAAATATAAAACTTCACTTGACTGTTCCAATGTTTTTCTATAATCATGTCTCCGATTGACACGGGTTTCCAAATTCGTCACGGAAGATTCACCCAAAAAACTTGACTCTCGTGTCAGGTCATTCGCGCTCACGATTTCTAGTAACGAAGCTACTGGGCTGCGATGCGAACAAACGGGCGGGTTAGGTAGGTACTTGCCTACTGTGCCAGCTGGAATGCGGCAGTCGTGACCAATCTAGTCCAGCGATGGAAAAACTAGTAAAATGCACATAAAAAATGTAGCTCGTGACTTGTTTCGCTGTTTTTGTAATTACCTACCATTTCTACGCTGAAGTCTAAGTTTGTCGGTGAAGTTTGTTGTTATTTCCAAAGCTAGTACCTAAATAACAATGCTTAGTAATGTTACTTTTTGTTTTGCTTTGTTCATCGTAGCAAAACTGCGTTTATTGTAACAATGCAGCAATGTTGGCATGCATTGAGTCTACATTTTTACTCAATTTCACCTGTTAGCAACTGACGATGACATCTTAGATGGAGCCCGCTTGCTCAGTAACCTACCTATTTACCTAAATCTTAAAATAACGCAAGTGATAGGAGAGCTGGAAGACAGACACTTTATTACCGTTCAAGGCATAACACACTCCAAGTACCTATGTTAATGTTTATTGACGAGTTCTTATTTTCCCTAGCCCCTTTTTCCATTATTTGGGCTCTCCTTTTTCTGAGGCGCTAGGACAGTCTGTCCTAGGTTGTCGAAATATTTATAAATGTAAAATTATGTACCTAACATTATACTTATTCTGTATTTTATTATTCTTTAGACTGGAAGAGCGCACGTCCTAGCCCACCCAACGAGCATCGATCTGATCGCACAGTCGCTCGACACCGAGAATGTCAAGACCAAAGTGGCCGCTCTCGAGATACTGGGCGCGGTGTGTCTGGTGCCTGGAGGACACAAAAAGGTAAGGCTAAATAAATGTTCCGTAACAGTATGAAGATAAATCATAATAACATAGAAGCTTTAAGAGCTATAGCAATAGAACTAACTGACTTTAGGTAGGTAGCTACTAGCTACGTTACTGTAAAATCAACTACCTCTGGAAGGAAATTTCCTTTTACACACTTGTTTGTTTGATTCTTCATCTAAATGAAACGGTTCACGGTTCTCTGCAAAATGGAAGTCTATAGTGACTAGTAAAACATCTAAACGCCTGTTAGTTTTTTGCACGCAAAATCCCTTTGACAAATATTCTTCTATTAGTAAAAAGTCAGGAGGAGTTCAAACCATTTCTTTTTCAAACATTTGTAGGTGCTAGAAGCAATGGTGCACTTCCAAAAATACGCTGGCGAGCGCGCTCGCTTCCAAAGCGTGGTGAACGAACTGGACCGCAGTACAGGCGCGTACCGCGACGACTTGGGCGTGAAGACCGCCATCATGTCCTTCGTCAACGCCGTCCTCAACTACGGCCCGGGAGAGGAAAGTCTGGAGTTCAGACTCCATCTGAGATACGAGCTTCTCATGTTGGGAATACAACCAGGTTGGTGTTAAAGTGATGAAAATACTAGCTCTTGATTCTAATCAGTGATAGGTAAAAGGAGTCCGTTATCGTTTTTCATTGCGATTAAATTAAAATTTTATTTGTTTCTAATAAATTCTCACTTTAAATTTTCCAATAAATAAACGAGTAACTAATTATTAATTTGCGTTTAAAACAACAGGTTTTGATTGGCGATACATAGAAAAACACTGTTTATACAGGGTGTTTGGCGCATCGTGTGCCAAAATGATTTGGCGGATAGAATGGGTCATTTCCTATATTTTCAGCCCCCATAACACGTTCCATGTCAGGCGGCTACTTTTATATTAAGTTTTTTAGTAATTTCACCAAAATACCCAAATCGCATCATTTAATTTCGATTTAAAAAAAAACTACTAAGCGTAGCCTCAAAGTAAATATTTTGTTTTGACGTGCATTGACATAGGGTTGCATCAAATCTAAATTTACTGGCAAATATCATCTAGTTTTTTTTTATTCAGCTTTGAACTTTTCCGAAAAGTTAAAAATGGACTGAACATTTAAGTTTACATGGCTATAAATTTTTTTTTAAAAGAGATAGCGATCTTCGGATTTTATCAAAACTTCTCTAGTCTATCCCCATTCAAACGGTATACTAATCTTGTTTAAATAATAACAACAACTTCACAAATTCCCTAAATTAGTGCATTGACTCTATTCGGACTGATTTGCGAAATTTGTGTTTATAGCCCCTTTTTGTGTGAATAACACGTTAAATACCTACAGGTAAAAAATATTTATCTTATGCAATGTAAAAAACCTTTTCTCTATCGTTTTTCAATGTAGATTTCTTGAAATTAAAGACGAAAATAATTATTTTGATCGTTTATTAATTATTACAAATTTTGTTCAAAATGTCCGCCTCGGCAACGTATACACTAAGTAACGACATCTTCTTCTAATTTAGACTGGCCCTATACAGTGGCCTGCACGTTCCCCAGACCTAACTCCGTTAGATTTTTACGTCTGGGGACGAGGTAATGAACTGGTGTACGTAACGGAAGTTCAAACATTAGAAGAACTACAACAACGAATAGAAAACGCCTTTATAGTAATAAAAAGAGAAATGAGGCTGCATACGACAACAGTCGAAGATGTCGTGAGTGTATACGTTGCCGAGGCGGACATTTTGAACAAAATTTGTAATAATTAATAAACGATCAAAATAATTATTTTCGTCTTTAATTTCAAGAAATCCACATTGAAAAACGATAGAGAAAAGGTTTTTTACATTGCATAAGATAAATATTTTTTACCTGTAGGTATTTAACGTGTTATTCACACAAAAAGGGGCTATAAACACAAATTTCGCAAATCAGTCCGAATAGAGTCAATGCACTAATTTAGGGAATTTGTGAAGTTGTTGTTATTATTTAAACAAGATTAGTATACCGTTTGAATGGGGATAGACTAGAGAAGTTTTGATAAAATCCGAAGATCGCTATCTCTTTTAAAAAAAAATTTATAGCCATGTAAACTTAAATGTTCAGTCCATTTTTAACTTTTCGGAAAAGTTCAAAGCTGAATTAAAAAAAAACTGGATGATATTTGCCAGTAAATTTAGATTTGATGCAACCCTATGTCAATGCACGTCAAAACAAAATATTTACTTTGAGGCTACGCTTAGTAGTTTTTTTTTAAATCGAAATTAAATGATGCGATTTGGGTATTTTGGTGAAATTACTAAAAAACTTAATATAAAAGTAGCCGCCTGACATGGAACGTGTTATGGGGGCTGAAAATATAGGAAATGACCCATTCTATCCGCCAAATCATTTTGGCACACGATGCGCCAAACACCCTGTATAAGTACGTTACCCGATGAACTAGAACCAAACTACCTGCTTATGTCATATTTTTTTTCCGTTCCATTTTCAGTAATAGAAAAGCTTCGCAAATACGAAAACGAGACACTCGATCGCCACATCGAGTTCTTCGACATGGTCCGCAACGAGGACGAGCGCGAGCTGGCGCGACGCTTCGACAAGGAGCACGTCGACACCAAGAGCGCCGCCGCCATGTTCGAGCTGCTGCGCCGCAAGCTCAGCCACACGCACGCCTACCCGCACCTGCTGTCCATCCTGCAGCACCTGCTGCTGCTGCCGTGTGAGTACCCTGTAGGCGGACACAAGGAGCACGTCGACACCAAGAGCGCCGCCGCCATGTTCGAGCTGCTGCGCCGCAAGCTCAGCCACACGCACGCCTACCCGCACCTGCTGTCCATCCTGCAGCACCTGCTGCTGCTGCCGCGTGAGTACCCTGTAGGCGGCGATCGAGAAGAGATGGAGCTGTTACCGATTTAACCTAATACGGCAGAAGCAACAGCAGCTGTCATTCATTACTATAGATGACTCACGCTGAACTGTCCCACCAAACTCAATGACAGGGGGCGCTACCATCCTTCAACTATATGGTTTCCAACATGGCAAAAATCGGAACCAGCGATCTGATATTGACGGTGGCGCCCCACTGTCAATGTCATGGATAGGACAGTTCAGTATTTTGGAACTATAATATCACTTACAGGACTCTCGATGTCGACACTGTCACTACTGTGTGACACTGACACTACTGTGTCGATACTGACACTACTGTGTCGACTCGACATTGAAACTGTTGTGTTGACTCTGACACTACTGTGTCGTCAATGACGCTTGTAAAGAATGTAAGAAATAGTATTTCGCACTGTGCCGGTCTGTACTGTGTAGGAACCTCGGAACTGTGACTTTATGTGAAATGTGTGAATCGACCTTTGATCACTAGCTACACTGCTTTGCCGCAGTTCCACGTACTTTAATAAACATCGAATCTAACCACCAAGAGGCTAAACAAATATAACTCTTATTGCAGTGGAATACAACCCATACTCGCAGCACTTTCTGCTGCTGGACCGCGTGGTACAGCAGGTGGTGCTGCAGCAGCCCAGCGCAGGCAGCCGCGCCAACAGCGAGCAGGGCAGCTTGCGGGACGTCAACACTGACCAGACTAAGGTAGTTTGTTCTTACCGGGCCAAGGTACCCTGTATATGGTGGCGATTGAATTGTTGTCATTATTTTTGAATTTAGCTTTATAGCTAGTGATGTACAAGGCTCGAGGCTTCCGAGTCCTTTTGCCGAGAGCTCAGAGTCGTTTACATGGCTCGCCCCGTTTGTACGAAGCTCGACGACTCGGAAGTCTTTTTTAGAGTTCGAGCCTTTTTCGGGGCTCGCCTCGTTTGTATGAAGCTTGGAGTCTTTCGCAGAGCTCGAGCCTTTTTGAGAGTTAGACTAGCTTTTGTGTTAAGATCGTTCTATTAAATAAAACTGCAGGAATTCTGATACCTACAATAAAATACATATTTGATAAAAAAAAATATTAAAAATCAATGTAAGTAGGTGTATTTTTTTATTTTTTCGAAGGTTTGAGGTCTTTTGAAGGTTCGAGCTCTTTTGAAGGTTCGAGCTCTTTTCAAGGCTCGAGCTCTTTTAAAGCCTCGAGGCATGGCTCAGAGAGCTCGCAGCTTGGCTAAGCTCTGAGCACTGAGCCTTGAGCCTTGCCATTCCGCCTCGAGGCTTCAAAAATAGGACTCGACGCCTCGAGTCTTGTACATCACTATTTATAGCAGCTGATTGTATGATCCACCACCACCACTGCTATCCCGTAAATGTCGTAAAAGGCGACTAAGGTTTCAAATATGCGAACATCAAGCCTTCCCAACTCAGCCAGATAGCCCAGACGCCAGTGTGAGGATTAAAAGCTAAAGAAATAGATGGGCTAATGATAGTGGTTGAAGGGTTTAATAACCATGTGCTAACGGCTCTTGTAACTCCACTCAAACTGGAACTCAAGTCTGTGATAGTCCTGAATATTAATATACATTGAATTTCAAGATGTTGAAAAAATAAGTACTCGTAATTACCTCCATCATTGAATAAATTACTTTAAACGCCCATTTTCCCTTTCCAGGTCTACGACCCAGACGTAGCGCCTCTGGAGATCAACGTGGGTGAAATCGTCCATCTCCTGGCTAAGGAGGAAGAGCTGGTGGCAGCTAGGACGAAGGCAGAAAACTTGGAGCGAGAGAACGTAGACCTGGCTACCGAACTGGCTAAGAAGGTATGTGCGGAAGAGTGCCTTTGCTTTGAGGGTAGCGGTTCAATGTAACCTGGTTTTGAAGATTGGAGATGCGTCGGCTTTTGTTTTTTGAATTACAACAATTTATTGAAGTTAGGTAATTGGGCAGAGTACTATGAGTACTTAAAGTCTATTTTAGTTGCATAATAGGACAGACGAAACCATTAATTGCCTAATTCAAGACAACTGTTACATTATTTATGTACTTATTTAAGCGTCAATAACACTATAACGCTATGAAGTCTACGTATCTCCAATTCGAAAGATTTACATGCCTCAATATTATTTGACTGACAAAGGTTTCAATTTAAGGATTTAATAGTATTTTATGCTGAAAGTCATAGTCATGAGATATTATTAATTTTATATTTATTTCATGAAATAAAATAAATATTCGGACATTGGTTTGGCGTCAGCAATCAAATGCTCCATCTTTGGTGGCGTGCTAAATTAAACGCTATTTTTCGAATTAAGTTGATATTATGAACCCCTCATAATGCTTAGTCTTTTAACAGGACAAGACTAATGAACCATTCAGTTACACACCATTATCCATTCCCATAATACATAGGGTTGCCATCTGTCCCATAATATTTATTCAAAAATGTTCAAATATTTTTCTTCTGGTCTGATTTTCTGATCTGAGCAGTGGTACGGTCAACATCAAATAGTGCGTGACACCCAAATTAGCCAAGAACTTCGCAACACTTCTTTTTCATAGGAAAAAGGTTGTATTGTAAACTTTTTGCCCATTTTGGGTGTCACGAACTATTGACGACGCTGATTGTACCATCACTCTTGTTGTTATTCCAAAAAGAAAATACAAAGTTGGCAACCCTACCCATCCGCATGTATTAACGTAACTAACGGGCTGGCAGGAGAAGCAAGTAGACCAGCAGTCACAGGAGCGCGAGGAGTTGGAGGGCGTCGTGTCTCGTCTCAAGGAGCGCCTCGAGCGAGAGACGGCAGCACATATGGAGTGCACTGAGAGAGCGCGCGCCGGCGCTACAAGGGCCCATCAGCTCGAGCAGCAGGTAACTTGCAAAATGGAAGGTCAGGGGCGAAGCCTCTCGACTTCAGGGGCGCCTCGAGCCGTCGCCTACAGAGTCCGGGGGCGTCGTCTCGAGCCTATAGGGGCTCGCCTCGAGCGAGAGACGGCAGCGCATATGGAGTGTACCGAGCGAGCGCGCGCCGGCGCTACAAGGGCCCATCAGCTCGAGCAGCAGGTAACTTGCAAAATGGCAGGTCAGGGGCGAAGCCTCTTGACTCCAGGGGCGCCTCGAGCCGTCGCCTACAGAGTCCGGGGGCGTCGTCTCGAGCCTATAGGGGCTCGCCTCGAGCGAGAGACGGCAGCGCATATGGAGTGTACCGAGCGAGCGCGCGCCGGCGCTACAAGGGCTCATCAGCTCGAGCAGCAGGTAACTTGCAAAATACAGGTCAGAGGCGAAGCCTCTCGACTCCAGGGGCGCCTCGAGCCGTCGCCTACAGAGTCCGGGGGCGTCGTCTCGAGCCTATAGGGGCGCCTCGAGCGAGAGACGGCAGCGCATATGGAGTGCACTGAGCGAGCGCGCGCCGGCGCTACAAGGGCTCATCAGCTCGAGCAGCAGGTAACTTGCAAAAAGGCAGGACAGGGGCGAAGCCTCTTGACTCCAGGGGCGCCTCGAGCCGTCGCCTACAGAGTCCGGGGGCGTCGTCTCGAGCCTATAGGGGCGCCTCGAGCGAGAGACGGCAGCGCATATGGAGTGCACTGAGCGAGCGCGCGCCGGCGCTACAAGGGCCCATCAGCTCGAGCAGCAGGTAACTTGAAAAAAGGCAGGACAGGGGCGAAGGCTCTTGACTCCAGGGGCGCCTATAGCACGAGACCCTTCCCGCTTCAAAGAGCGCCTCGAGCGAGAGACGGCAGCGCATATGGAGTGCACTGAGAGAGCGCGCGCCGGCGCTACAAGGGCCCATCAGCTCGAGCAGCAGGTAACTTGAACCCTACCGCGTACTTTGAGTCTCATTACTGCTATCATAAATAAATCCCTTATAACAGGTACTTTCCCAGATACTTGGAAAAACGCGATAGTTAAACCGCTACCTAAAACAAGTAATCCCACACAGCTAAAAGATCTTCGGCCAATTAGTATTTTACCATTTATGTCGAAAATAGTAGAAAAGGCAGTAAACATACAAATTAATGAGTACTTACATAGAAATGACATCTTACCAGAGAAGCAGTCGGGCTTCCGTAAAGGACGGAGTACGGTGACAGCTTTACTTGACGTTGTCGATGACATTTTGGCGGGACAGGATGTAGGGCGGGGATCGGCTTTGGTGCTATTAGACTATTCCAGGGCATTCGACACTATTAACACGCAATTGCTTATCGCAAAACTTAAATACTACGGATTTGATGATATTGCACTTAAGTGGTTTTCTACTTATCTATTCGATCGTTCGCAACAAGTAGAAGTTATATCTAGTAGTGGTGTAAGACATGTATCTAGTACTTCCCCTGTAAACAGAGGTGTCCCGCAGGGCTCCATACTCGGGCCTCTACTCTTCATTATTTATACTGCTGACCTGCCACAAACAATAGTACATACTAAACATCATTTATACGCAGATGACTTGCAAATACATATTTCTTTTAAACCGTCGGAAACNGACTCCAGGGGCGCCTCGAGCCGTCGCCTACAGAGTCCGGGGGCGTCGTCTCGAGCCTATAGGGGCGCCTCGAGCGAGAGACGGCAGCGCATATGGAGTGCACTGAGCGAGCGCGCGCCGGCGCTACAAGGGCCCATCAGCTCGAGCAGCAGGTAACTTGAAAAAAGGCAGGACAGGGGCGAAGGCTCTTGACTCCAGGGGCGCCTATAGCACGAGACCCTTCCCGCTTCAAAGAGCGCCTCGAGCGAGAGACGGCAGCGCATATGGAGTGCACTGAGAGAGCGCGCGCCGGCGCTACAAGGGCCCATCAGCTCGAGCAGCAGGTAACTTGAAAAAAGGCAGCTCAGGGGCGAAGGCTCTTGACTCCAGGGGCGCCTCGTGTTCGAGGCCACTCATAGAAGCCGGGGGCGTCGTCTCCAGCCTATAGGGGCTCTCCTCGAGCGAGAGACCGCGGCGCATATTATGGAGTGCACAGAGCGAGCGAGCGCCGGCGCTACAAGGGCTCATCAGCTCGAGCAGCAGGTAACTTGCAAAATGCAGGTCAGGGGCGAAGCCTCTCGAATCCAGGGGCGCCTATAGCACGAGACTCTTCCCGCCTCCAGACGCATCGAGCGAGAGACCGCGGCGCTTAAGGAGTGCACCGAGCGAGCGCGCGCCGGCGCTACAAGGGCTCATCAGCTCGAGCAGCAGGTAACTTGCAAAAAGGCAGGTCAGGGGCGAAGCCTCTTGACTCCTGGGGCGCCTATAGCACGAGATCCTTATCGCCTCAAGGAGCTCCTCGAGCGAGAGACCGCAGCGCATATGGAGTGCACTGAGAGAGCGCGCGCCGGCGCTACAAGGGCTCATCAGCTCGAGCAGCAGGTAACTTGCATAAAGGCTGGTCAGGGGTAAAACCTCTCGACTCCAGGGCCAACGCCTCGAGCACGAGACCATTTTCACCTCCAGGGGCGCCTCGAGCCGTCGCCCACAGAGGCCGTTGGCACTGCCTCACGCCTCTGTGAATAAGACCGGCGCCACCCGCCTCTAGGGGCGCCTCAAGTACGAAACCGCCGTGCATATGGAATGCAACTCGGTAGGTAACGCACAGAGTCATCAGAGGGGTGTCGCTCTCGTCTTAAGGAGCAAGTAAGTAATTAGAGGATTTAGACAGGAAACTCACAAGCTTGAAGAACCGAGGAAGTTAGAGGCAGCTGTCTGAAGAAGCTGTCTAACTTAAGAAGAAAAAAAAAATAGACGCCCATGTGGGCTAAGTTATCCAGTCGCTGCAGGCCCCTTGTTTTATTAATCTCTCGCTATGCGCAGGTCGACAAAACAACTGTCTCTTTTTCTACAGGTGAGGATGCACTGTGCACACAGCTATTGTATCTTTCGTAAATTGTTGATTATATCGAACGAACTGAACAGCCGAGAGTGAATTGTCTTTTTCTTCTTCTTCTAAAGAAAAGTGGTTGTGTTTTTGGCTTGCCATAAAAACTAAAGAAGTTAATTAAAGTACTTATAAATTCTGATTCTAATGGATAAATAATTATTCTTAATACTTTATGAAATAAAAAACTTACTTCTATCTTATTTACCTACTTACTTCTGCATCATCTCAGCACATTTTTGTAATTTGCAGCTGAACCAAGAAAGAGCGGAAAGGGCAAGGTTCGAAAAACTAGTCAGCGAAGGCAGTATACCTGACGATGCCAAGGTAAGTGTCAGAATAAAAATATAATAATTATATCTGTAAAACCAAAACTGTAGGTATGTTTGTTTTATCACTTTCTGTCAAAACGGAAAACAAAAAAAAAACAATGTTATGGGAGTTTTTTTATTAAAAGTTTTTAAGAATCAGTCCATACTCCTGAATACCAGAATAAGTTATCTGTCCAATAATTACACATCTGAACCTTCCCAACTACATCTACGTCGTTTCAGCCAAATGACGTCCACTGATGGACAATGACACCCCCCCCAAGAATTTCCACAAAGACCGGTCCTGCGCCGCCCGCATCCAGGTTTTCCCCGATGCATATTTCGTACGAAATGACCACCTTAATTAATTTTAAATTACCTGTAAATTACGATTTTTGTTCGCATTGTAATTGAAAAAAGTAGTTTGAGTTGACAAAATAGTGACGTCACTTGCTTGTAGTGCCATACAAAATCTATGGGAGAGTTTCGTTTTGACAGTTGTAAAAAGTACGTCAATGAGGGCTATCGTTTTTATACTTAACAGTTGGCACCCCTGGTCTGACAGGACCTTACTCTACAGTGGCGCCATCTTGATGAGTGCATATGCGATAAGTCCTCCTACCACTTTAGCGCTCACCAGTTGGTGCCACTGTCTTCGCTACTAGCAAGTGACAGGACCTTACTCTTCAGTGGCGCTAACTGGTGAGCGCTAAAACGATAGCCATCATTGATTGATGGTGTCTATTTCAGGTCAGCAACCTCAAGAGCGCAGTGATAGAGACGTGCAGCGCCCCGCCGCCCCCGCCACCGCCGGCCTTCTGCCCCCCCGCGCCGGCCCCCCCGCTAGCACCCGCCCCCCCGCCGGTGCCAACCGCCCCCGCCGCCCCCGCCCCTCCCAAGCCCAAGAAGAACGTGCCCACACCCGGAAACCCATTGAAAAGCTTCAACTGGAGCAAACTGCCCGATGCCAAGTTACACGGGACGATATGGCAGGAGTTGGATGACACCAAACTGTATAATGCTATGGATCTACACACGATTGACAGGATGTTCTGCGCTTACCAGAAGAATGGAGTGCAGGTTTGTTGATTATCTTATGCAAATTTTGTGACATTGCCAGATTTTGTAATTTGAGTGTATGTACCTACTTACCTACTAAAGGTACACATGACAGCATATCAGACTGTACATTTTTGAAGCAAAAATGCCACAGTGCATAGCTTGACATGCCGTCGTCTGTAGGTACGTACGTACAGTTTCTCTAAAAAGTCAGGTCATACGAAAATCCGATTACTTCTCAATGAACTGTAAAATAACTAAAATATTTTTTGACACTTGCAAAAGTGGTTGGATTTGAAAGTGTTCTCCTAAATGATGCGATCAACTCTTCTCAGATCTAAATTGTAACAAAAGTGCTCGTTGAAAGACTATGTTTGAAGGAGTTTTTCTATTATTCTTTTAGAACGAGGGATCCGTGGAGGACTTACGTCAACTGGGAGCCAAGCCCAGAACGAAAATATTATCGGTGATAGACGGACGACGAGCCCAGAACTGCACGATCTTACTATCCAAGCTGAAGATGACTGACGAGGAGATTTGCCGGTAAGTATCCATTTGCTAGTTAATATTTTTCACATAATTTTCTGTAGACAATGATCTCTGACCACTTTTAATAGAGTACCTATTAAGAAAAGATTGGATAATTATCGAATACACCCCAAAAATAATAATCAGAGAGACCCGGACCCTCGCATGATAATGATGCTTATGTTAAAAATTTCATTGCACATAGCCCTGAATACGTATCATAATCCTTAATGATCTATTAATTAGGTTTGAGGTATAAATATACTCATGATAGAACTATGAACCTGGTGGTGATTTCAAAAAACTACTGTAGTAATTAGCGTTGTAGTGGTTGTAGTTCATCGTGCTAAAAAAACCATCCTTCGCTTCAAATGTTTCTGTTAGCCTCATCTTTTACCAACTCTAATACCCTTATTCCAAGCCTTCGTCCCACCAGGGCGATAGTGTGTCTATAGTATCCATTGTTTCCACTAACCATAACGCCCTCATCCCATCAGGGCGATCCTCCGCATGGATGCCGGCGAGCAGTTGCCCATCGACATGGTGGAGCAGCTCCTCAAGTTCACACCCAGTGCCGAGGAGGCGGCGTTGCTGGAGGAGCATCAAGACGAGCTGGATAGCATGGCCAGGGCAGACCGGTTCCTGTACGAGATATCCAAGTGAGTTAATGTTCAATGGTCAATGTTCAATAATCAGTAGTCAATGGTAAATAGTCAACGGTCAATAGTTAATGGTCAATGGCCAATAGTTATAGTCTTTTTCACCTAAGATGATCCGTATGACGTTTCGAGTTTGAAAGATTTAGAGATGTCACATAACTAAACCATAGCGATTTATCTATCGATTTTTTTCGAAGAGTTAGTAAAACCTACTTTTAGAGAAATATTTTGTATAGGTGTTATTTAACAAAAAACCTGTTTTTTTTAATTACAAATATTATTGTAACAATTTTTTATTGATAATATTCAAATTTCATGGTTCGTGTTAAAAAAAACGATTCCTAAAAAGTACTGGTTCTGTTTCTTTAAATTAAAAACTATTAATTTATTTTCAATGCGTTTATTAAAGTCAATAATCGAAAAATATAGTTGATTTTTGTGATGTTTTTAATAACTAAGTATTCACTGCAATCGATTAATGAACCACGGAAATAATCGATTTTATTATACAAGAAATACCCCAGCACTAAATCTATTCCGTTTCACACATTGCGTACATTAAATAAAAAATATGTTTACATCGTATTTAATTAAAATATAATCAATAGACTCAGATTTTACTATATATTTCAAGACAAGTAGTTAATTTTTTTTTATTATATTATTGCTGATAAAATACAAATATTTTTTCAAAAATATTCTGCATATGTAGTATGCGTAATATGGATAACCTTGAAGTGTCATACGGATCATCTTACGTGAAAAAGACTATAATGGTTAATAGTCAATGATCAATAATCAATAGTTAGTGGTCTATAAATAGTCAATGGTCAATAGTTAATGGTCAATAGTCAATATTCTATAGTCAACAGTCGATAGAAAAAACAGTCAACAGTCAGAAGTCAATAGTCAATGGTCAATAATAATCAACAGTTAACAGCCAATAGTCATCTTCTTTCCTTCTTTGGGTGTAACAACGGTTACCATACTGGTGTCAATTCTATGAGCCGCCATACATGCGTCAGGCATAATCCTTAACTTTGAACGAATTCATCATTGTTTTATGGACAATCAGGTTTCTATCTGCAAAACAAGTATTGCTTGAATCGAGGAAGTTGCAACCCTTATCATGGAGGTTAGCGACTCATTGGTTTTACGCTTTTGATTAATTTTTCGCCTTATAACAACTAACCTATCATAAAGTTCAAAACCGCTTGACAGTCTCCTAAAATATCTTCGTTCCAGAATCCCGCACTATTCCCAACGAGTCCGGACGCTACTCTTCAAGAAGAAGTTCTCAGCTGCGGCCGCAGAGGCCAGCGCGAGGGCACACACTGTACTCAGGGCTGCGAGGGACATGACGCGGTCTAGGAGGCTCCGGGCCTTGCTGGAGATTGTGCTGGCTTTAGGAAACTATATGAACAGGTGAGATAGCTTCTAGCAAACATCACGCTAGTTAGTGGTAGACATTACGTGTTCAATGAGATCGCGAAGTCATTGGCTCTCATAGTTCTCGCTCGCACACTCACTGCGGGCGCCCGTCGCACAGTCGCGACAGCAACATAATTACGCGCGAGCGATAGGGATGGGTAGCTTGGGGTCATTGGACGGGATTCTACGTGCTCACGGACCAGGCTTTAGCAAACATCACGCTAGTGGCAGACATGACGTGTGCAATGAGGTCGCGAAGTCATTGGCTCTCATAGTTCTTTTAATTATTTGAACGAGTAGAAGAATACGTATACTCTCTAAGAAGTTTTCGGCTGCGGCCGCAGAAGCCAGCGCGAGAGCACACACTGTTCTCAGGGCTGCGAGGGACATGACGCGGTCTAGGAGGCTTCGGGCCTTGCTGGAGATTGTGCTGGCCTTAGGAAACTATATGAACAGGGGAGATAGCTTCTAGCAATCATCACGTTCAGGATTCAGAAACGAGGAGATCCGCAGGAGAACCAAAGTAACCGACATAGTTCGCAGAATTGCTAAAATCAAGTGGCAGTTGCAGTGGGCGGGGCACATAGCTCGTAGAGACGATGGCCGTTGGGGCAGGAAAGTTCTTGAGTGGCGACCATGGGCTCGAAGACGTAGCGTGGGCAGGCCTCCTACTAGGTGGACCGACGATCTGGTAAAGGTCGCGGGAAGAGCCTGGATGCGGGCAACGCATGAATGGAAAACCTTGGGGGAGGCCTTTGTCCAGCAGTGGACGTCATTTGGCTGAAACGAACGAACGAACGAATCATCACGTTAGTGGCAGACATGACGTGTTCAATGAGGCCATGACGTACGATCTTTGGCTCTCACGGCTCTTGAAACTATTTGAACGAGTAAATGAATACGTATACTCTTCAAGAAGTTCTCGGCTGCGGCCGCAGAGGCCAGCGCGAGGGCACACACTGTGCTCAGGGCTGCGAGGGACATGACGCGGTCTAGGAGGCTCCGGGCCTTGCTGGAGATTGTGCTGGCTTTAGGAAACTATATGAACAGGTGAGATAGCTTCTAGCAAACATCACGTTAGTTGCAGACATGACGTGTTCAATGAGATCGCGAAGTCATTGGCTCTCATGGTTCTCGCTCGCACACTCGCTGCGGGCGCCCGTCGCACAGTCGCGACAGCAACATAATTACGCGCGAGCGATAGGGATGGGTAGCTTGGGGTCATTGGACGGGATTCTACGTGCTCACGGACCAGGCTTTAGCAAACATCACGTTAGTGGCAGACATGACGTGTTCAATGAGCTCGCGAAGTCATTGGCTCTCATAGTTCTTGTAACTATATGAACCAGTAAAAGAATACGTATACTCTTCAAGAAGTTCTCTGCTGCGGCCGCAGAGGCCAGCGCGAGGGCACACACTGTTCTCAGGGCTGCGAGGGACATGACGCGGTCTAGGAGGCTCCGGGCCTTGCTGGAGATTGTGCTGGCTTTAGGAAACTATATGAACAGGTGAGATAGCTTCCAGCAAACATCACACTAATGGCAGACATGACGTGTTCACTGAGATCGCGAAGTCATTGGCTCTCATAGTTCTCGCTCGCACACTCACTGCGGGCGCCCGTCGCACAGTCGCGACAGCAACATAATTACGCGCGAGCGATAGGGATGGGTAGCTTGGGGTCATTGGACGGGATTCTACGTGCTCACGGACCAGGCTTTAGCAAACATCACGCTAGTGGCAGACATGACGTGTTCAATGAGATCGAGAAGTCATTGGCTCTCATGGTTCTTGTGACTATATGAACCAGTAGAAGAATACGTATACTCTTCAAGAAGTTCTAGAGGCCAGCGCGAGGGCACACACTGTTCTCAGGGCTGCGAGGGACATGACGCGGTCTAGGAGGCTCCGGGCCTTGCTGGAGATTGTGCTGGCTTTAGGAAACTATATGAACAGGTGAGATAGCTTCTAGCAAACATCACGTTAGTTGCAGACATGACGTGTTCAATGAGATCGCGAAGTCATTGGCTCTCATGGTTCTCGCTCGCACACTCGCTGCGGGCGCCCGTCGCACAGTCGCGACAGCAACATAATTACGCGCGAGCGATAGGGATGGGTAGCTTGGGATCATTGGACGGGATTCTACGTGCTCACGGACCAGGCTTTAGCAAACATCACGTTAGTGGCAGACATGACGTGTTCAATGAGCTCGCGAAGTCATTGGCTCTCATAGTTCTTGTAACTATATGAACCAGTAAAAGAATACGTATACTCTTCAAGAAGTTCTCTGCTGCGGCCGCAGAGGCCAGCGCGAGGGCACACACTGTTCTCAGGGCTGCGAGGGACATGACGCGGTCTAGGAGGCTCCGGGCCTTGCTGGAGATTGTGCTGGCTTTAGGAAACTATATGAACAGGTGAGATAGCTTCTAGCAAACATCACGTTCAGGATTCAGAAACGAGGAGATCCGCAGGAGAACCAAAGTAACCGACATAGTTCGCAGAATTGCTAAAATCAAGTGGCAGTGGGCGAGGCACATAGCTCGTAGAGACGATGGCCGTTGGGGCAGGAAAGTTCTTGAGTGCCGACCATGGGCTGGAAGACGTAGCGTGGGCAAGTCTCCTACTAGGTGGACCGACAATCTGGTAAAGGTCGCGGGAAGAGCCTGGATGCGAGCAAAGCATGAATGGAAAACCTTGGGGGAGGCCTTTGTCCAGCAGTGGACGTCATTTGGCTGAAACGAACGAACGAACGAATCATTACGTTAGTGGCACACATGACGTGTTCAATGAGGCCATGACGTACGATTTATGACTCTCACGGCTCTTGTAACTATATGAACGAGTAGAAGAATACGTATACTCTCCAAGAAGTTTTCGGCTGCGGCCGCAGAGGCTAGCGCGAGCAGGCCTGGCTCACTCCGCGCGGTACATCCGATAATTACCTACAGCGAAGCGCCCCGCCGGCGGGTATTATATCAGTCGAGTGTCACGCGCGCGCTCGTCACGACGCTGGCGTGCGTTGTAGTATGATTATAATTCTATGATCGAAGTATTATTTAAAAATGGACATAAAGAGAAAGAAATATTGTGCGGCGTTCGGGTGTTTAAATTCGAAAAGTAATCTACCGGATTTATCTTTTTTTTTTCGCTTCCCAAAGATACTGAAAGGTATGTTGGCCATGTAGGTAATCAATAATTCTTAGGATAGTATAGGAACCTAACCTACTATGAAGGTTTTCCATAATGAATGCATACTTACCTACATACGTACCTCATTACAAATAAGTAGATTAATTATTTTTTCACTAGACAGCAACCCTAACAGCGTAAGAAGAGTTCAGAGGCACGCGATAGAAAGAGACAAAACTTGTAGGTGAATAAAATTGTAGGTACGTAGTGCTGTGCGAGCTGAATTCCACTGTATCGCGTCGTAGCAAGACTCGCATTTATTTAAATCGTCTTGCGGAGTAATCCTTCTGTACCTGTACTATTACTTATTCTGTGGCGCGAGGGCACACACCGTGTTCAGGGCTGCGAGGGACATGACGCGGTCTAGGAGGCTCCGGGCCTTGCTGGAGATTGTGCTGGCTTTAGGAAACTATATGAACAGGTAAGATGAGTCAAGCCGGGTCAAAAAGAAGCTTTATGTCGTCAAAGAAGAGGCTAATGTTATCTAGCAAATATCGCGTTAAAGACATACATTTGACGCGGTCCAGGAGGCTAAGCGCCTTGTTGGGGATTTGTGTTGGGTAGAGGAAACTAAATGAAAAGGTGAGCTGAGTCAAGCTGGGTAAAAAAGAAGGTCTATGCAAGACTCGCAGGGTCGAAGCAGAGGCTATTGTCCTTTAGGAAACAACAAAGGCCGCGGATCTTGTTGAAGGTCGTGCTGTGCTTTTCTGGAGATCATGCTGACAGGAGATCAGTGGCTCCAGAAAGGCCCGAATGTAAATTTTATTATACGACCAAATTAGACGAGAACCAAAGCTCATAACGGCTCTTATCCTGAATCAAACTGGTCAATATTCATAATTTGTTTGAACGCAGTTTTCTTTCTAGCATTGTAACAATAAATCCATGACATTTTCCGTTCTAGCATTGTTTAGGACATTAAATCATTGTCCATCAATTTTCAACCTTATCAGATCACAATAAAAGGTTATCTTTTATTGCAGAGGCGCACGCGGCAACGCATCAGGCTTCCGGCTGTCGTCGCTGAACAAGCTGGCCGACACCAAGTCCAGCGTCACGCGCAACACCACGCTGCTGCACTACCTGGTCGAGATGCTCGAGACACAGGTAACTAGGAGAAACTTAAACGATGCGTATGGAGCGAAAAAAAGATGGGTAGATACAAGTATCCATAGCACTACGTACAGAAGTTTTACTTCGCGAAGGTATTTAAAAAAATGTATGCTCAATGTCATTAACAATATGGTGTAATTTAGCCTGTCTCAAAAGTTAAGCACCGTTTTGTTGACAAACGTCAGTGATCGGCACTGCGCCGAAGCTATAGGGCTGACTTCGGTAAAATGATGTGACTTGAGGTGCCAAACTGCGGAAAATGGCGGAGGAAATACATGATTTAGCATGAATTATCATGAATAATATTAACTACTTATTTACCTCTCAGTGTCTTGAGGCAACTTAAAAAAATACATTCTGTGTTTTTATTATTATTTAGGCAGTTAAATACTGCACAGTATTTAGTACACCATTTTCTTTATTTTCTTCCATCATACACAAGAATACGCGTGCGTGAGTCAATGTTCGGTCGTATGTGAGGCCTTGTCGAATAGTATCCTGTAGGTGGGCCATCGTGCGTGTTTTGTTTTCGATGTTAACTCGCGGAGATGAACAGGCCTGTCAATAGTAGTGAAAGAAAAAGAGCAGGTCAAAAAGTTTTCCATACACAACATATCACATCCTCACCTCTAGCATTTAAAGCTCGAAAATCCACATAAAGCTCAAATCATCAAAATTAATATCAAATTGAAAATCATTAAAAAAGTCATTGTAGTCTTGTATTTGATTAGGGCAGCTTGATAGTGTTAAGGGCCCAGGACAGCTTGATAGTGTTAAGGGCCTTGCCGCGTCTTTCCGTTCTATACATGGCCAGAACGCACCCATAGGAAACTGCTCGTGTATATTTTGGAATGTCCCTTTGTAAATCGGTCACAACAAACTATACACGAATTTTGCGTACTGATCGTGTATAGTTTGTATCGTGGATGGATTCCGTCTTCGCTCCAAACTATACTACACCACTTACAGTTGACTAGAGTGTGTTTAGTTGATTTGATTTAGTAAAATATGGAATTATTACTTTTATTAGATATTATGCTCGTGCTTTGTCCTCGAGATTTTAAATAAGAACTACCTATGTAGTATCACGTACGGTGATGCCATTTTTAAATTCATTAATTATTACATAAAANGTTCAATGAGATCGCGAAGTCATTGGCTCTCATGGTTCTCGCTCGCACACTCGCTGCGGGCGCCCGTCGCACAGTCGCGACAGCAACATAATTACGCGCGAGCGATAGGGATGGGTAGCTTGGGGTCATTGGACGGGATTCTACGTGCTCACGGACCAGGCTTTAGCAAACATCACGTTAGTGGCAGACATGACGTGTTCAATGAGCTCGCGAAGTCATTGGCTCTCATAGTTCTTGTAACTATATGAACCAGTAAAAGAATACGTATACTCTTCAAGAAGTTCTCTGCTGCGGCCGCAGAGGCCAGCGCGAGGGCACACACTGTTCTCAGGGCTGCGAGGGACATGACGCGGTCTAGGAGGCTCCGGGCCTTGCTGGAGATTGTGCTGGCTTTAGGAAACTATATGAACAGGTGAGATAGCTTCTAGCAAACATCACGTTAGTTGCAGACATGACGTGTTCAATGAGATCGCGAAGTCATTGGCTCTCATGGTTCTCGCTCGCACACTCGCTGCGGGCGCCCGTCGCACAGTCGCGACAGCAACATAATTACGCGCGAGCGATAGGGATGGGTAGCTTGGGGTCATTGGACGGGATTCTACGTGCTCACGGACCAGGCTTTAGCAAACATCACGTTAGTGGCAGACATGACGTGTTCAATGAGCTCGCGAAGTCATTGGCTCTCATAGTTCTTGTAACTATATGAACCAGTAAAAGAATACGTATACTCTTCAAGAAGTTCTCTGCTGCGGCCGCAGAGGCCAGCGCGAGGGCACACACTGTTCTCAGGGCTGCGAGGGACATGACGCGGTCTAGGAGGCTCCGGGCCTTGCTGGAGATTGTGCTGGCTTTAGGAAACTATATGAACAGGTGAGATAGCTTCTAGCAAACATCACGTTAGTTGCAGACATGACGTGTTCAATGAGATCGCGAAGTCATTGGCTCTCATGGTTCTCGCTCGCACACTCGCTGCGGGCGCCCGTCGCACAGTCGCGACAGCAACATAATTACGCGCGAGCGATAGGGATGGGTAGCTTGGGATCATTGGACGGGATTCTACGTGCTCACGGACCAGGCTTTAGCAAACATCACGTTAGTGGCAGACATGACGTGTTCAATGAGCTCGCGAAGTCATTGGCTCTCATAGTTCTTGTAACTATATGAACCAGTAAAAGAATACGTATACTCTTCAAGAAGTTCTCTGCTGCGGCCGCAGAGGCCAGCGCGAGGGCACACACTGTTCTCAGGGCTGCGAGGGACATGACGCGGTCTAGGAGGCTCCGGGCCTTGCTGGAGATTGTGCTGGCTTTAGGAAACTATATGAACAGGTGAGATAGCTTCTAGCAAACATCACGTTAGTTGCAGACATGACGTGTTCAATGAGATCGCGAAGTCATTGGCTCTCATGGTTCTCGCTCGCACACTCGCTGCGGGCGCCCGTCGCACAGTCGCGACAGCAACATAATTACGCGCGAGCGATAGGGATGGGTAGCTTGGGATCATTGGACGGGATTCTACGTGCTCACGGACCAGGCTTTAGCAAACATCACGTTAGTGGCAGACATGACGTGTTCAATGAGCTCGCGAAGTCATTGGCTCTCATAGTTCTTGTAACTATATGAACCAGTAAAAGAATACGTATACTCTTCAAGAAGTTCTCTGCTGCGGCCGCAGAGGCCAGCGCGAGGGCACACACTGTTCTCAGGGCTGCGAGGGACATGACGCGGTCTAGGAGGCTCCGGGCCTTGCTGGAGATTGTGCTGGCTTTAGGAAACTATATGAACAGGTGAGATAGCTTCTAGCAAACATCACGTTCAGGATTCAGAAACGAGGAGATCCGCAGGAGAACCAAAGTAACCGACATAGTTCGCAGAATTGCTAAAATCAAGTGGCAGTGGGCGAGGCACATAGCTCGTAGAGACGATGGCCGTTGGGGCAGGAAAGTTCTTGAGTGCCGACCATGGGCTGGAAGACGTAGCGTGGGCAAGTCTCCTACTAGGTGGACCGACAATCTGGTAAAGGTCGCGGGAAGAGCCTGGATGCGAGCAAAGCATGAATGGAAAACCTTGGGGGAGGCCTTTGTCCAGCAGTGGACGTCATTTGGCTGAAACGAACGAACGAACGAATCATTACGTTAGTGGCACACATGACGTGTTCAATGAGGCCATGACGTACGATTTATGACTCTCACGGCTCTTGTAACTATATGAACGAGTAGAAGAATACGTATACTCTCCAAGAAGTTTTCGGCTGCGGCCGCAGAGGCTAGCGCGAGCAGGCCTGGCTCACTCCGCGCGGTACATCCGATAATTACCTACAGCGAAGCGCCCCGCCGGCGGGTATTATATCAGTCGAGTGTCACGCGCGCGCTCGTCACGACGCTGGCGTGCGTTGTAGTATGATTATAATTCTATGATCGAAGTATTATTTAAAAATGGACATAAAGAGAAAGAAATATTGTGCGGCGTTCGGGTGTTTAAATTCGAAAAGTAATCTACCGGATTTATCTTTTTTTTTTCGCTTCCCAAAGATACTGAANCTTAGTTTGGGACTAGAAGCGCAGTGTAAAATGTCCAGGGATATTTATTTTTATTTATAAGCTTTTATCTCAAGAACAAAATCATTTTGACATACATAATTCTTAATTTAAGAGTTATTGGAGAATTGATAAAATATCAGCCCCAAAACAAATATATTTTCTATGGTAGAATACAAACACCAAAAAACTCAGTTATGAATTAATATGTAATAGAAAGAGAGGTAAATAAGTCAAAATGACGAGCATGCAACTACTCGCGTATATATTGTAATCGCGAACTTATTACAATACATACATGATTAGTCCGTATGCGTACTGACGATGTATATTTTGGAGGAAGATAATTGACCTAAGTCACTACAAAGTATACGCGAGCAGTACGCAGCGTATGCGTACTGGTCGTGTATAGTTTGGAGGAGCTTAGTAAAAAAGTCATATCCAAACTATACTCGATTAGTTTCACACCCTTGCGTTCTGGCTATGTATAGAATGGAAAGACGCGGCCTTGCCACACTGGCGGATTGCAAGCTTCTGGGCGGAGCAACGGCGCGGCGCGGTAGGTAGGCCGCGGCATTTTGCAAGCATTTTGGCGACCGCGGCGTGCCCGCCGCTTAGTTCTCCTACAGCATTTCTGCTGCGGAATACTGACTCTTCTTTCTCCCCCAGTTCAAAGACATCCTCCTACTCGAAGAGGACTTGCCCCACGTGCGAGCAGCAGCGAAGGTGTGCGTGGACCAGTTAGACAAGGACGTGAGCGCGCTGCGGGCCGGCCTACGGGAGGTGGCCCGCGAGCTGGACTACCACGCGGCGCTGCCCGCGCCCGCCGACCCCAACGACGCCTTCCAGAGCGTCATGAGGGAGTTCCACGCGCACGCCGTGTGCACCTTCACGCAGCTGGAAGACCTGTTCCAGGTGAGACGGGTGTTTTAGGATGTTTTGTATAACGAGGACATCCACATACTTGAAGAAGACTTGCCCTACGTGAGAGCAGCAACGAAGGTGCACGTGGACTAGCTAGACAACGGCCTGCGGGAGGTGATGAATTTTGATTTTGATGTTGAATCTAGAGATAGTTGTGCCCGCGAACTGGACTACCACGCGGCGCTGCCCGCGCCTGCCGAACCCAACGACGCCTTCCAGAGCGTCATGAGGGAGTTCCACGCGCACGCCGTGTGCACCTTCACGCAGCTGGAAGACCTGTTCCAGGTGAGAGGGGTGTTTTAGGATGTTTTGTGTCACGGGGACATCCTCTTAATCGAAAAGGACTTGCCCCACGTGCCAGAAGCAACGAAGGTGTGCGTGAACCAGCTAGACAACGGCCTGCTGAAGGTGGCTCGTGAGCTGGACTACCACGCGGCGCTGCCCGCGCCTGCCGACCCCAACGACGCCTTCCAGAGCGTCATGAGGGAGTTCCACGCGCATGCTGTATGCACCTTCACGCAGCTGGAAGACCTGTTCCAGGTGAGATGGGTGTTTTAGGATGTTTTGTGTCACGGGGACATCCTCCTACTCGTAGAAGACTTGCCCCATGTTCGAGCAGAAACGAAGGTTTACGTGGACCAGCTACACAACGGCCAGCGGGAAATGGCCCGCGAACTGGACTACCACGCGGCTCTGCCCGCGCCTGCCGACCCCAACGACGCCTTCCAGAGCGTCATGAGGGAGTTCCACGCGCATGCTGTGTGTACCTTCACGCAGCTGGAAGACCTGTTCCAGGTGAGACGGGTGTTTTGGGTCACGGTTACGTCCTCTTAATCGAAGAGGACTTGCTCCACGTGCGAGCAGCAGCGAAGGTGTGCGTAGACCAGCTAGACAACGGCCTGCGGGAGGTATCCGCGAGCTGGACTACCACGCGGCGCTGCCCGCGCCTGCCGACCCTAACGACGCCTTCCAGAGCGTCATGAGGGAGTTCCACGCGCACGCCGTGTGCACCTTCACGCAGCTGGAAGACCTGTTCCAGGTGAGATGGGTGTTTAGACAGAAGAATTTGTTGTTGAATTTTGATATAGTTGTGGGAGTGACTTGAGGTGAAGTTGGTGCATAGATATAGGCAGTTAGCGCAGTATATGTTTTCTGGAATCAGGCTATAAAATTTAATTAAATTCGCATTTTTTAATACTTGGGGGAGGCCTATGATGTATTTGAGCAGCCTTTGCAAATAGTGATTGGGTTTGGATTTCAGTTAAGATCATGGTTATTGTGTAAATCTTCCGCCCGGACGTCATTTGGCTGAAACGAACGAACGAAAAACCATGGTTTACACCTCCATGCAATTCGACCGTCGTCAGGCCACTTTTATCGACCACAAACCTCTGGTCTTTCGCTCAGCAACTAGTTGAGCAATATGTCTGTTAATAGATTACCTAAGCTAGATGACCGACTCAATGATGTAATTTCCACAGGACATGAAGAGCCGCCTAGAAGCGTGCGCGCACGCGTTCGGCGAAGAACCCAGCTCTTCGCCCTCGCAACTGTTCGGCGCGCTCGACGCCTTCCTCACGCAGTTGGGCGAGGCGCGCGCCGAGTGTGACGCCGCGCGCCGCCGCCGTGACGAGGAGGAGCGCCGCACGCGCCACGAGCAGGAGGTCAGTGACACTGGGAGACGAGTGACAGCTGTGATGCATGCGTCAGTGATCTGATGACACTAGTGACTCCACTCGGCCGCTCGACGCCTTCCTCACGCAGCTGGGCGAGGCGGAGCGCCGCACGCGCCACGAGCAGGAGGTCAGTGACACTGGGAGACGAGTGACAGCTGTGATGCATGCGTCAGTGACCTGATGACACTAGCGACTCCACTCGGCGCGCTCGACGCCTTCCTCACGCAGTTGGGCGAGGCGTGCGCCGAGGAGGAGCGCCGCACGCGCCACGAGCAGGAGGTCAGTGACACTGGGAGACGAGTGACAGCTGTGATGCGTGGGTCAGTGACCTGATGACACTCTAGCGACTCCACTCGGCCGCTCGACGCCTTCCTCACGCAGCTGGGCGAGGCGCGTGCCGAGTGCGACGAGGAGGAGCGCCGCACGCGCCACGAGCAGGAGGTCAGTGACCTTCACCTTTAGTGTCTAAGGCCTAGTTCAGACACGACGGAATCCGCTCGGTTCCTAGGATGTTCTCGGACAGTTTGCGTCGAACTGTAAGAGTAGGCGCACACCGTTGATTTTTAGTTGGCCGATAGTTGTGCCCGATTTTAATTTGTACGAAGAATCGGCCAAATCGAATCGGCGTAGTGCGCGCACTCCCATACATGGCCATACTGATCAACTGTCCGACTAAATTATCGGCCGACGAAAAATCAACGGTGTGTGCCTACTCCTATTTGCACGATTATCGCGCATGTCTGAACCACACCTAAGAACGGGGGATTTGGTAAAAAAAAAACATTTGCGCTTTTGGCTCGTGAGCCATGCCAGCGCAAAAAAGAGGTGAGGGCGGGGCCTACCTACTAAAGGGCCGGAGCCTAAAGGAGCTGCAAATTATTGTGCTGTTGGACATTCGTCTGGAGCGAGCCTCACCCAGATTCGAGGTGAATAGTAGGCACTTTCCCGGGCCATTTCCTAGTGGTGCCGGGACCCCTTAACTTCAGCAATACCGTGCAATAATATACGTTTTTATTTTGCAGCTGAAAAAGCGAACAATGGAGCGCAAGCAGGCGTCCAGCCTCCTCAGCTCCGTCGGGAAATCCCTCGGCAAGAGCAACTCGGACTGCAACGGCCACGCCAACGGAGACTCCTCCCGTGACGGCACCCTCACTAACGGACAAAAGGGCGAGTTCGACGACCTCATCTCGGCTCTCCGCACCGGTGACGTCTTCGGAGATGACGTCGCCAAGTTCAAACGATCCAGAAAAGCCTCCAAGGCCTCACACAAAGGCAGGGACTCCCCGCCCCGCGGCATATGCCGCGAAGACTCCCGGGAACGACAGAAGAATTGAAAGGTTTGCTAGGTTTTATGTGTAAACGATCTGAAAACCTGGACAAAGTATTCGTTAACGAAACGACTAAGTCAAGTACGATTGTGCTTCGTGAATGTAGTTACTTAAATTTTTCCATTTAAAATTTTTGAATGGTAACGCCATAGGTACTTTGGGAACGAAGCAACTTTTGTTGTTTAAAGACGCTGGATATTTTCACTTAAAGAAACATTCGATAAGTGGATTTCGAAGATCCTTGGGGATACCCAAGGGTGGTGCCGAACTTGTAAACCGGTCACAAACGGGGAGATTTATGTTGAAGAAAAAGGGTCTAAATGACTTTAGTAAAATATACTACGTATTATAGTTATTATGGAATGTGATGTTTAGTAGAAGGATAATGACTGTTAAGATAATGAGTGTTAGTCAACTTTCATAAACATCGCTAAACTTGGCCTGCTGGCTGGTCCAATTTATATGGTACGCCCATATTAGAACTAATTTATCGTTTAGTTTCCCTTAGGTACTTTATGATCTTGTGTCATCAATATAAACTTAGTGACAACGAATCTAACGGTGTATCCGATGCCATTTTGTATTACGTTTTCTTACAGATTTATCTCAACACTATCACAAACTCTTGGTGCCTAATTTTGAACTTTTCTTACTTTACATTGAGATTTTCGACGATTTGGCTTTTTGCTGGCTATCGACTGATCAAGTCAAAGACTGTGCATGTTATTCCATAGACATAATAATTTAAGGTTTTTTATTGATAAGCGATGTGTGATTTGAATAACCATAGAGTAGATCGTATAGATTTTTTTATTACAATACTTGAATGTTATAGATTTCATTGCTAGGCCGCCATAATACTTTTAAAACTCTTTACTTATTACAGAAATGTTTTTTCATGTTCTTTTTAATTTAATAATAATCGATTAACATTTTATCGATAGCCAAATTATATTCTGTGGGATTATGTGAGTGTATTATATCATTTAATGTAAGATGTATTTACATTGTGTAAATTTTAATTATAATATTATGGTGTACTACAATTTGGCTTCTTTTTCTAAACGAATGCAGGGCATCTGATAAGCATATCGTATTCGGTTGTACCTTCAACACTTTTTATTGTTATGCCTCTTAGATACATAACAATGATATGTCTATAAAATTTGCTATTTAATTAGGGCGTATAATACCATCTTATACGCCTAATCTATACGTAGCCTGTAATTGGCCTAAATACTGAAATTAAAACATTCGGCGTAATGCTATGCTTAATATAAATTGAACTTTTGTGGGCTCGTAATAGGGCCCTATCACTTCAACGTAGACAAGTGGCAAAACAATGAAAATTTCTGAATTAACCAATCTCTTAGCACTAATGGAAATTGACGAAAATCCTTTTGGATCGTAACCCTATCATTATTGAATAAAACATTGATGAATTGACTATAATTCCTATATTGTTGTATCATTAACACTAGGGTGTAGGAATTGATACAGACGTACCAGCATACTGATTTCGAATTTTTACTACAACATTTACTTTATGGTAGATGATGTTTTTGAAAACTTTACATTGTAATTTTATATTGTAGATCTTATAAAAAAATCTGTCACTAATTTATTTTATTTCATTAATAAAATGTGATTAATTAATTATTTTAGTTGAATGTAAATATAATTTTAATTTGCCAAAATTTGTTACCGAGTTGACGAGTTGATGAGGGAATTTTGATAAGTTATTGAAATGTCTCCAATGAAAGTTTGTCATATTATGTAAATTTTATTGTTTTGTTCAGTATTGCTTAAGCGAATAGTATATTAATATAATTATTATACCTATAGACATTATTTAAATTAAAATCCTTAAAACAATAATATTGTTGTTGTTCTTTCACACTTTCCTTTTACCTGTACAATTATTACTTATGTATGATCTAGAATTCCTACACTCAAATTCGTAAGAGATTTAAAATCTGATTAAAAAAACATTATATACCATTTAGATTTTTATTTATTGAATCAAAGTGGAACCAAATACCGAATGGTACCTACGCTAGTGTACGCTGTTTACTGAATTGGGTAGACACAGAAACCGATAATTTCGTGACAAAAACTTAAAATGACACCCGTTTACCTTTCAACTCTTGGTTTGAATAAAATCATACTTTGAAATAATTAAAAAAATTGTTGAGTTCGATTATAGTCCCCTTTGCAACACGAAATCAATGGACAGTTTTTTGACAGGGTTTTGACAGCTAGCCCTATAAGCGGAGTGTGACCTCAAGAAGAAGCAGGCTGTGACTGGAGACATAACGGGGCTCTTCGACAATCCTTGGGAGAGGATACATTATGTTCAAATTCTAGCACGAAATATTGCCTTTAAAGTAAAATATAACAGTATCTAATTAAATCTAATGTACTATAAATAATATCACACTATAGATTACTCATCGAACCCGGAACCGGTGATCTTGCGTTTAGCATAGCATTATTGATTTGGAAAATGTAGAGTTCGCAATTCATGTCCTTACCAAATGCAATGCATTTAGCTTTTTCCCTACCTAAGTTATTGTTTCTTAGTTTAATTTGTAATTACTATGTAGGTACATTAGTAAGTGTCTTTTCGAATCAGTTGGGAAATCGTCACCATTTTTTGGCCTTTCAATTCTTTATATTATAATATTCTTTAAAAAGACGTCCCTTCAAACAAAGCGGCAATTTCATGAACATCTGTTATCTGACCTAGAAATCCGTAATACCTTCGTTTAATGAAATTCAAGTTTCAGCCCCAGAAAGGGAACATTTGCCTTGAAGGAACAATGATAAACGGGCAGTAGGTATAACATAACCCACAGAAATCCGTTGGGTTTCGTTTGTGGCCATTATTTTCATAATTACGCCGGCGGCCAGCTCTCTGCAAATTAATGAACACCTAACGAAGCGTGTGTTGTGCGGAATTTCAATTTAACCTTCAGTCTTTTGTTCTTTGAACATCAGCTTGCATAGTTATTTTGTTGCAAGTTCCCCCGCAGTTCGTTATTTTAGATTAAGTTCGCCTTGCAATTTGTAGAGGAGGTTGATGTAATGAATTTTCTTAATTAATGTTTAGTGTAAGGAGGTATATTAGCAGCCAGCAATTTCAGCTAACGTTGAATCCTAATTTCTCAATAATATTATGTTTTTCCGCGGATTAATAATTATCCAGTGCTATCTTTTGCTGACAGGCAGGCTTATTATCTACCTACTTCGTTTCAGCCGAAAGACGTCCACTGCTGGACAAAGGCCTCCCCCAAGGATTTCCACAAAGACCGGTCCTGCGCCGCTTGCATCCAGGTACTTCCCGCGACCTTCACCAGATCGTCGGTTATTATCTACCTACTTACCGAAATATTATTCATATTATAGTTTCAGCTATTATTTATGTAATTAGTGATGTTTTGTTCCGGGGCATAAGACTTTTTATATTAACAGTCTATTGTGACTTTATTAATACTCTGTGTGTAGGTGTTGTTATTTTCAGTTTCTTTCCCAAATTAATTTTTTTATTAGCTTTCTCTTGTTATCGTAAGAAAAGAAAAATTACTGCCATCTACACGACAATAACAATCCCACACACACTCTGCAATATTATTACGGGGTGGAGTGTACTTGTGCCTGCGTAGGTACATTGTAACATTGTGTTTTCAAGAGCCACGTTGCTCGTAGGTTACAGATAATGAACCTGCGTATTTCGGGCTCCTCTCCGAAATCATATACTGTTGACGGTCGCCGTAAAAGCTTTCGAAGCAACGCATAATCCTTTAGAAACGGTCCCGGTTTGGGCCTCTATTGTATTGGAGGTCTAATTTTAAACCTGCTTATTCCAGGTTGACTGGTGCCTTTCACGGTATCCACCTTCATTTGGTTTGTTGAATGTAATGTTGAAGTTATAGAGTCAAATTACAGTTGCCAATTTTGTTCTGGTATGTCATCCTTTTTTATTACCTACCTAATTGTATGTCTTGTTGGTGTTAATAAATAAATAAATAATTAAGTGTAGAGAATGACACATTAAGGCTGAGTTGCACTACCTAACTTTGACCGTAACTAACTATAACGATAACCGGTGTATTTTGTATGGAGTTTGACAGATTTTTAACGTTTGTCAAAGTTAAAGTAAGATGGTGCAACCCAGCCTAAGAATTTTAGCGCCGGGGCATCTTTATATTAGGTACGTTACATAGGTAACTTTATATGTATAGGTGCAATTTTGTAATAAAATTTTAAGGTGACTTATGATGGAAACTGTACCAATCAATAATCACGTTGGCTTAGCTTAAAATTTTACCAAAGTCAAGATTTTTCAGGAATTTTTAGCGAGTGTTGTAAATTAAAATGTGTTTTGAAAATTGTTTGATACCAAAAAAGTTTCTTTGCGCCTTCTCTCTGAGGTGCGGATCTTATGTGGTCGGACTTTATATGTTTGTAAGTACCAACTTTATTATTACCTACTGTTTGTAAGTTTCGTCAAATGTCATTGTTGTAATGACACAACGACAAAATCGATGACAGTGGATTACGAGGCACTGATTTTTCCTGAAACTTCTTCAAATAATCTTACTAATGCGAAAGTTTGGATGTCTGGATGTTTGTTACTTTTTCACGCAAAAACTACTGAACGGATTTTGATGTTTACAGTATTATCACATAATAATAATAAGTATGGTATTATTGATTATAACTCAGAATAACATAATATTATAGGCTATAATTTATGACGATCACACAGCACACTGTGACAGTCTAAATTTCACGCGGGTGGAGCCGCGGGCAAAAGCTACCTAATATTTCAAATATTTTGAGTGATAAAATAGCTTATTGATCATACATTATTAAGTATTATTATTCAATACAAGCAATTCGTGTAGGCCATGTAAATTAAAAAATATAATTAACTTTGAACCAAAGCACTGCACTAATTTCCTATTTGAAAAACAGTTTTAAAGTTCGCAAGCAAGTCTTGTAATTTGTAAATTAATAAATAGCAGTTGAATCTGTGTTTCTAGTAGCACTTCATAGAACGGAAGCCGAGAACTGCAAATGCAAAAACATCTTGAATAATTAAAAGAACTCACTGTTAATTTCTTTCGTTTACTCGTTTCTGCAGCTAACACGAGAAATAATTTGAATGGGTATGATGCTAGCGCGCAAGTTGCAGAAAGGTCATAACCGGTATAATATTATTCCTATATCCGTAACCGTATCCATAACAGAAACTACATAATTATCCAAAACATCCTTACCTGTATGTATGAGATAATGAAATGCGGGGCAGGGTAAAAACTAACGGTGGTCAAGAGTCTTAGACTAAGCCAAGGAACCTCTGGACGATGCGTGACGTGCTGAGGATCATTTTGTATAATCTGTCCCTTGAACCTACCAACCACCAAGAGTATAAACAATGTATTTTGTTCCAGTGCCTCATGATGCTTGTGACTACTGCAGTGATCGTCCAAACTAAAGCCTATAGCAATTTAGAGTATTCGACGAAGACGCCCGAAAATTATCTGTTCGTCTTCAGCATGGTGGCTAGCATCGACAGCGTTTTCCTGACGTTGGTTAACTTGTGGCTGCTATGGGGGATTTGCAAGGTTAATATTTTATAGTTTACCAGGTTTTGGTAGAACTATGCCCGTTTTCACCATCAATCGCTAATTTTTAAGTGACCCATATGAAAACAAAATTCCTGTTATGTGTTACCATAGAGGTCACTTAAAAATTAGGGATTGGTGGTGAAAACGGGCACTAGACTCGTGGATTGGTGAAAACCCCAAACAAATCCGTTCAGTAAGTATGTAGTAGGTACTTCGATTGTTTGTTTGAATTGAGCAGGCTCCGAAACTGATGATAAATTGAAAAATTATTTTACGATTAGAGTTCTACATTTTTTCTCATGAATATAGGTGGTACGGAATTCGCTGGGTCAGCTAGTTATACTTTAAATAGACTTCATAAAACACTATCGGAATGTCGGTCATTTTTCGCATTATAATATGGATGATTGGTTTTGATTAAATTTTTTAGAAGAATGCGACAATAGTGGTGTGCTGGATGATGGTCACCATCATCGGGCTGTTGCACGTCTTCATCACGTTTGTCCTGATGTGCATTTACGCCACCAACGTCAACGAAGCTGCCAGGGTGGTGTGCTTGATTGTAGCTTTTGTTGCTATTGGTAGGTATTAAATTTTCAACTTCACCATCACCTTATCACCTTTCGTTCTTTGTCCACAGCTGGACAAAGGCCTCCCCCAAGGATTTGGTCCTGCGCTGCCCGCATCCAGGCATTTCCTGCGACCTTCACCAGATCGTCAGTTCACCTAGTGGGGGGTCTGCCTCATAATCATAATCATTTATTATATGTACAGTCACTGCTGTAGGAGCATGATTGTCTCAAAGAATGTAAAAAAAATCGTAGGTTTTAAAAGGCGAGTAAAAAAAAATGGGAACAACAAAATACAAAAAGCGCTAATAAAATAAAAACGGCTAAACAACGAAGTCAAATAGGTTTACTATAAAAAAGAAATAAGTAAAATACTGACGATTATATTTTTTTCACAGGAATTGAGCTGTACGCTTTTCTTATTGTCTACGCCTACTGGTTGGAGTTGAAAAAACTGAAGTCTGAGGGGACAATCGCGTAAAAATGTTAAGCAAGATAATGTAAATTTAATAAAAGAGGCTATTCTTGTATTATATCTTCACCTATTTATAATAAAAGTGTAGAGATTTTTCTGTTCATTTTATTCCTTAGTACTACCATTAGGCCATTTAAACACTATGTCGTGGCGGCAGCGCTTATACTAGCTTCTCTGGAATTTTTATTTACACTCGGAAATCCTTGGGGGAGGCCTTTGTCCAGCTGTGGACGTCTTTCGGCTGAAACGAACGAACTTACCTACACACTACCTGGCCCGGGTTATGCCGCCGCCGAGCCGCAGCGGCGTAGAGTAAGGCTCCATACAAATCCAAGGGGAGCTAGTGCAAGTACATATGCTATAATGAAAGTGTCGATATAGTTTACCAGCTTAAAGAATACAAACTATTTCAGGTTTTAGGGTTCCGTAGTCCTGACAAGGAACCCCTATAGATTCGATATGTCCGTCTGTGGGGGGTTGGGTCTGTCTGTCCGAGGTTTAGCTTGGAAACTATTTGCACAAGAGAGCCGTAATTTTGTGAAGGATGTATGTATAGTAATCACGCTGACAAAACAGTAAAATAAAATAAAAAAAATAAAAAATTTAGGGTAGCTCCCCTACATGTAAATTGGGGATGATTTTTTTTTTAATCTTCTACCCCATCATGTGGGATATCGTTGAATAGGTCTTTTAAAATGGCTTAGGGGTTTCTAAGACGATTTCGATTTAGGGATCCGTTTGCAAAATATTAAAATTGAAAGTGCTAATTTTTGTTCAAGTAGGGCGTCCCTCCCCTCTAAAAACTAAACTGTTGACAAACTAAAATCTGGAAAAATTCATAATAATACTGCTTTTCATGAACGTTCAAGGAAAACTATAACTGTTAAGATAGATCAGTTAGTTTAAGAGTAATAGTAATTTAACTCATGTATTATAAAATTTAATAATATAAAAAATATACATACGAGTATAACTAATAAAATCCTTAGAAGAAAATACTTATTAAAAGTGACTTTAGATAAATTAATTGCTTGCTTCTGAAATATATTGTGTTAACGACGGACAACTACGGAACCCTACACTGCGCGTAGCACGACCCGCATTTGGCTAATTTTTTGAGATTGATTTTTAAAGTGGTAGGAAAAACGGCCTATTTGTTAATGGTTTATTTGGAAAACATGCAGCACCCAGATAACATATACAAAATGAGTTTTACATATTATTATGCCTTTTATGAACTTTTCACTGCTGATTTTAAATTGAAAAGACAGAATTTACAACCTACTAACAACTAAACATGAAAGCTTGCATCTTATTAGTAGTTTTTTTTAATACTTGCTTTTTAGCAACAAAACGTTTTCTTTAGGTTGACGTGCTGGCGACTGTACCTAGTTACAACAATTAACGTTTTTGTATTTATTACCAATCGAGAACATTCAAATACACCTACAATCACGTTGGCCAAAATTTCAATTTTTATGTCATAATTTTTCAGAAATTTGTAAAAGCGACTGTAAATTAAAATGTGTGTTGAAATTTGTTTGATACCCAAAAAGTTTCTTTGCGTCTTCTCTCTGAAGTGCGGAGCTTATGCGGTCGGAATTTGGATGTCTGTAAGTAGTTTAGTTATTATTTCCAGTTATTACTACAATGTTTATAAAGTCATTCCATCCATCCATCTTCGTTCGAAGATGGATGAATGATAATGACGACTTCTGAAATAATTATCTGATAATAATCAGTAACAATGGGCCGCTAGGGCAGGAAAGTTCTTGAGTGGCGACCACGAGCCAGAAGACGTAGCGTGGGCAGGCCTCCCACAAGGTGGATTGACGATCTGGTGAAGGTCGCGGGAGGTGCCTGGATGCAAACGGCGCAGGACCGGTCTTTGTGGAAATCCTTGGGGGAGGCCTTTGTCCAGCAGTGGACGTCTTTCGGCTGAAACAACAGTAATAATAATATGTCATTCGATAAAGATTAAGATTGAATATCAATGAAAATGGCGAGACATAGTACGATCTCAGTATTTTCAGCAATGGTAATAGTGAAATACATCCAAGATAGGTACCTACGTACAGTCAGCCTCAGCTTGTGACACCCAGAATAGCCAAAAAGTTCGCAAAACTTCTTTGTTCCGCTTGGATTATACATTACACAACCTTATGGTTGTGTTGACAACTTTTTGGCCACTTTGGGTGTCGCGAATTATTTGACGCTGACTGTACGAGTAACTAGGTATGTTATTATGATAAATGACTTCTGTTTCAGTGTTTCATGTTCATGGTGGCCATAACAGTGCTCGTTGAAAGTATAAACTATTGTTGGGATTTTCCTGGCTTGAGGTGGTACTGTATTGATACCACCTTTTTTTTGTCTGCTGTGGTGACTGTGATCGATAGCATATATCTAATGTTGGTTAACTTGTGCCTGATATGGGGAATTTACAAAGTTAGTACTTTATAGTTTATTTAATCAACGTGAAAATGTGAAATCCGTCTCCTTTTTAGGGTTCCGTAGCCAAATGGCAAAAAAGGAACCCTTATAGATTCGTCATGTCTGACAGTTTGTCTGTCTGTCCGACCGTCCGTATGTCACAGCCACTTTTTCCGACTCGCACTTGGCCGGTTTTTTAACCCGCCATTGGTGACCTATATGACTGTGAGACCGGGTGGTTAGAAAACTCGAATATTTTTGTCACCGTTCATCGAATTACACTGTATTTTCGACTAGTTGCCTATTTCCTTGTCCCGCCAGCCTACCCCTCGATAGCGATGCGGGCGCAAATCTCATATTTTTGGCTCAAACCCGGTGCGTGAGACCGGGGTCACCAACTACGTAATAGACTAAGAGCTAGTGAACGCCAGACCTACGTCATTTTATAAAAGCTGAAAGTTTGTCAGCGTATGCTCCCAAATACTCCCAATATAGGATATAATGTTGGTGAATTATGAAGTTTGGGTCATGGTGGCTTTGGGAGCTACCCTAGAAAACTGTCTGGCAAGGAGTTGGAACTGTCAAAACTGTCTGGCTGTTGGGGAAAATACTTCTAATAATTGTCCAAATATTATACATAAAAATCAGATTTAATAGTATAACGTTAGTAGAATTACAGTCTATTGAATATACAGAAAAAGCCACCGTAAAAGTTAGACTTACGTCATACCATAAAATCTGATTTTTATGAAATATTATATAAACTTTCAGATTTTATAAAATGACGTAGGTCTGGCGTTCACTAGCTCTTAGACTATAAAGTCAAGTGGTTATTGTGTATTTTTCTTATTTTGATAAGGATGTTGTTTGTAACGTACCGTAACAGTTTAATAATGTAAGCGTTTTGCCAGATTATAACAATTGATATTTTTTACGAGAAATTACGTAATTTTCGTTCAAACTGTCAACAATCTTTGAAAGTTATGAGCGTCGTCTTGAAGCTTTTTTCAAGAAGTAATGTCTGATAAGGACAGATTATAAACTTCTAATCACATAGAATGAGGAAAATGAATCTGGATGTGACTTCGAACCAAAAAAATCAAACCAGATAAGTAGAAAATGAGTGATTTTAAATATTGTATTATTATTATTTTTTGGTTGAAGTACTACCATTATTACTACTATTTTATGTTTGCAATGTCATGAGACTGACTACTGATTTTTTTGTTAAATTTAAAAATTAAAATTGTTGCTTTTTTTGAAGTTTAAAAAAACATTCTCAAAATAACTTAAAATTTTAGTGCATCCAAAGATATTTTCTATTGTTATTATAGAATATTTGATTTATGAAATACCTTTGTTTTATCAATATTAAAGATCAAATTTTATAACCTTTCCAAAGAAAATTATCAAAAACGGTAAGTTACAGAAATACCTACTCGTAGTCAAAAAACCCGGTGCGTGAGACCGGGGTCACCAACAAGACAAATTCACGTCACTAATGGTGGGTTAACATAATATAATTACAACCAGAGTAAATACAAATGAGTAGGTCATCTTCATAGAAACGCACCGAGCGTGGTTTGTATGTGAGCGCGCCAATTCTTATGCGGCGCGCACGCACACACTGACAAAATTTAGCGTGGATTAGCGGCACAAATAGCGGGGTATTGCCACAGAATAAGTAATAGGTGTTGCGCCGAATTTTGTCAGTGTGTGCGTGCGCGCCGCATACGTATTGGCGCGCTCACATACAAACCGCGCTCGGTGCGTTTCTATGAAGATAACCTACTCATTTGTATTTACTCTATTACAACAACCCTCCAAGCTCCTCCTTAAATAATATATTTTCTACAAGGTCCAAATGTTTCGTTTAAAATAATATTTATGATAGTTTTAATTCATTTAACTTTTAGGATAAAGTGAGAATACTGCTGTGCTGGTTAGCGTTGACCACCTTCGGACTCGTACACGTTTTCGTCATCATGGTGACAGCCCCGAGCTTACTCCACTACGGGTTTACAGGACCTAATCATTTTATCTGGATTGTATGCCTGATCATAGCTGTGGTTGCTATCGGCAAGTATATTAGTTATATTACCTACATTTAAAGCAGGAGAAAAAAATACAGTCAGTGTCATACTTTGTGACACCCTATACAATAATATGGCTAAAAAGTTGACAACAAAACCTCCAATTTTAACAAAGACGTGTTGCGAACTTTCTGGTTTCTCTGGGTGTGACGAACTATTCGACGCTGACTGTAACTGTACTGTATACTGTTACAAAACGTTACACCGTACCAACCAAAATGTACTGCTTATACACGTTATTACAATATTAAAGTTTTTTTAATCTTTATTTTAAGAGCTTGTTCACTGAGTGAACATGTCGCTCCAATAATATGTAATTAAGTTGAAAGTGCAACAAAAAAGTTAGTCATCTCTCAACTCTTAAGTCAGCTAAAAGTATTGATCACTGATAATGTACTTATGTAAGAAGAAGGTTTATCAAAACAAAATAAATCAGCAACATTCTTACGAAAAGGGTTTCGATGACTCAAGTCATGACCCTTGCGTAAAAAGATTTTTCACGATATTCACCACTCATGCAAATAACTGGCCCCGCCTGCCACGAGTCTTAATAACACTTAATAATTTAAATTGTTTTACAGTTATGGGGATCTACTCGTTGCTTGTTGTCTACGCCTACTATTTGGAGTTGAAACAGCTCAAGACTGAGGGGACGAACGAAACTCGCTGAGCAATGAAAGTAATACAAATAACCTACTAAATAATGTTATTCTAAATATATTATTTGTTAATTTTATTCTGTACTTTTTTATTGTGCGACTTTAGTTAGAGGTTAGAGCCAAAGCGCACGATGCTTTGCGGCACCGCACCGCACAGTTTTTGCCATAAAATATCGCGCGACGCGCCGCCGCACCGCTCGTGTGCCCGACACATTATTTCTATGAAGACGACGCAGCACAGACGCAGCGACACCGCTCCGGCGTCGCATTGGTGATAGGGATATACAAACATGAAATTTTTGGTTTTACAAAGGTGATACGATAGATAATAACACAAAGTAATAAAAACCACTTGTAATAGGGAATGCCTCAATTAATTTAGAGAAATTTTTCAATATTATAATTGTTATAAAGAGCTGTGGTTTTCTGAAAATAAAATAACACAAATCAAAATACAGTTTTTTCTCAAAAATAACATTTTATTACTACTTGTTGGCATTTTCTGGTTATATTTTGTATTTTATTAGTATCGCCTGTTATTTAGCATTATGACTGTTTTATTTTCTCAGGACAGACCTCTTAGCTTAAAAGTTATGACGTTTTCTTAAAAATAAGTAATTGAAAGAAAAAAAAATCTACAAAATTTTTAAAAATATCTCAGACATTTTTTGTCATTTTTTCCTACGATAAAAATAGGTCTAGTTTCACCTAATTTCATATGTGCACTTTATCAAGACTAACACTGTACTGTCCAAGATAGATAAATACATAATCTCTTGGTAAAGTAGGTGGAGTAGGCAGTTGAAGGAACAGAGTAAATTTTGTCCTTAGTTACGTCGTTTATCAATCTGCACATAGTCTGCTCGTTTGCCTTGTCACATAAAAAATAGGGAGTTATTTTGTGTTGAAGACGAATGAAATCAAGTATGATTAAATGACGCATAGTCAAAACTTTACATTATCTGGTATCTTCGTATGGCGAAAAGTGGCTACTTTAAGAATCGGGGTCACCTCCCCAGTAGGAAATTACAGTATATGTATGTAAATAAGTTAATAGATGTAGAAAGATTCAGCATACACTTAATAATGATTCAAAAGCCATCGTTTAAAGTAAGCCAATAAACAGTATCATAGTGACTATATCTATCCGTAAACAGTTATCTGTGAGCCACTCACTAAAGAAACTACAGCTTGAGATATAATATCTATATATATAAAAGAAAGTCGTGTTAGTTACACCACATATAACTCAAGAACGGCTGAACAGATTTAGCTGAAAATTGTCAGGGAGGTAGTTTACTTTTTATCCCGTTCGAAATAAAAAAAAGTCTGCTTATTTATTGCCATTAAGGCGGAACAAAGTTCGCCGGGTCAGCTAGTTAGTTATGAACCTATAGTCATCAACATAACTTTTCATATTTCTGTTTTTTATCAACCAAATCAAATCAAATCAAATTCGTTTATTTGTGGAACATAGGTAAATAACATATTACAGGTGTTAAAAATTAAGTCGGTATCACTATGTTTGGCCCAAGGTCGGCGTACAAATTTACATAACATCATTGAGTCGTATTAGGTTAGTAGAAATTAAATAAAATAAAAAGTAAGTTAGTAATGTCCAATCAGTAACAATTTCATAAACATTTAAACATAAAAAAAAGGTCAAGAATCTTACAATTTGTCAGTTAAAAACTCTGTCAATGTATAGTAGGCTTTGCTTAATAATAAGGATAGCAGCTGCTNCATAGTCAAAGGCTTTGGACATATCCATAAATATGGCACATACGTTCTCCCTTTGGTCCATAGAGTCAGTGACTAGTTTAAGTAAGTTAAAGATTGCCATACTTGTAGATTTATTTTGACGGAAGCCATATTGTTGTGAAGTAAATATATTATGTTTCTCAAAAAATGAGTTAAGTCTGTTGTGTATTATTTTTTCGAATACTTTTGATAAGACAGGCACAAGAGCTATAGGTCGGTAGTTCTTCATATCGGTTTTGTCTCCCTTTTTATAAATTGGTTTGATAATAGACAGTTTAAATGCCTCGGGGAATACTCCTTGGCTAAGGGATAAGTTTATGATAAATGATAATGGTGGAGCCAGATAATCAGCACAACATTTGATTGCCGCTGTATCTAACTCATCGTAGCCCACGCTGTTAGTGTTTTTCAGGGAACAGATAACGCTGCGCACCTCTAGATCACAAGTTGGAATCATAAAAATAGAGTTGATGTTTGATTTAGTTTTCATGTCAATGTTATTAGATTTTAATGTCAATTTCGATGTCAAATTTACTTGGTCTATAAAATAAGAACAACTAGACAGACACTCTAGACAGAGACTCAACATTACAATAGGTAGTTCATATTCATAGCAGCAGCGCCTCGTAACGTGGGCAGATTAAATATTATTTGTTTTAAAAGTTACTTAGATGTTTAACGTATTGTGGTTTCTGTACAAGATTAATGTGGTATGTAATGAAAGTCTCCAAATTCTTGCCAGGCAGTCCAAGCAGGCATTAGGATTTGAAAAAAATTAATTTTGGTCCGTCAGCTGGCTCTGAGGAAAAAGGAAATAAAACGCAATAACTTCGTTTTACTCTGAATAAAACTCAAACATTTATGTTACGCTTATTTAATTCACTATTCCGCTATCATAAATTACGAACAATTTAATAATGCAAAAAGCTGCAGACCCGACTTTAAGATTAGATTTTTTTTAAATTTATTTTATAAAATAGACTTTATGTGAGATTAGTTTTTAATATCACTAACCCTTAAAGTCCTTAGACTTATGTGAAGGCAATTTCTGATAATAAATCTTTCTTTTCTGTTTAATTTCCGTCCAAGAAGCGGGGCTATAAAGTTGTCATCTATCGAAGTTGTAAGTTTGAATCTCACCAGAAGCAGTTTTTCATTTCAGACAAGCATATTTGCGAGGGGTTACGAACGAGAGGTTAACTGAACTATCAATATTGTGTTTAGGTACAATAATTACTAATATTTAAAAAAACTGAATATGGATAATTTCATAGGTGCCATATTATTCTAAGAGTTAGTCAGTAGATTTTCTGCATAAATAAAAAGAACTTATGTAAAAAGTAAGGTAATAACAGTATAATTTATTTAGACTTTATTTGTCGCTGAAAAATCAAAAGGCCAATAAAAGAATTATAAAATAATTGTAAGTAAAGATTTAATGACTTTTTTTATCAAATATTAACCTTTGTGTTGCTTAGTATCCTCTTGCGATGACTGTTCACCACCATTATGAAGTACACCGTCACTGGAAACATTAATGAAGGTCAGATTCAAGGATAAGGCGGTTTACAGCAAAAATAGGCTTCTTTATAAAGAATCGGGCTAAGGAGATTATCTTAGAGATCCTATGAATAATGACATTCATGCTTGTCGTGGCGCTTGAGGGATTATGGGCAGGTACCTACTATTGCTTAAATTGTATAATTAAATGATCAATATATGTAAAATCTCATATTGCAATACCATGTAATTCAGTTCACTTTCCTTCATCAGCCGGGGTAGGATGCGCGCCGTAATAAAATGTTATCGACGATTTTAGACTACACAATGTATCGTGCAAAATCGATAAAATTGCCGCGATAAAAGATTATCGTGGCGCGTATCCTGGGCCTATACTATAGTATTAGGAAAGCAACATTTTAAACATTTTCAACCTTGTCGTCACAGCATAAAGTTCAATTTAATCTGCATGGTTAATAAACATAGCATTCGTAGTTCGTTGTGTTCGTAGTCTCGTAGTCGTGGTCGTAACTATGGTAGTTTTCAATCAGTTCTTTTTAAGTAAGAAAAAATGTTCTGATGTGGTCTCTTTTTAGGGTTCCGTAGTCCTGACAAGGAACCCTTATAGATTCGATATGTCTGTCTGTCTGTCTGTCCGAGGTTTTGCTTGGAAACTATTAGCACTAGAGAGCTGATAGCTGAAAACTATAACGGTTAAGATAGATCAGTTAGTTTGAGTAATAGTCATTTAACTCATGTATTATAAAATTTCTTAACTAATAAAAATTCCTTAGAAGAAAATATTAAATGTGAATTTAGATGAAGTAATTGCTTGCTTCTGAAATATATTTAATTGTGGTAACGACGGACAACTACGGAACCCTACACTGCGCGTGGCACGACACGCACTTGGCCAATTTCTTAGATGTTGACGTTGTTGGCGTATGGACGTCGATAGAAACGTTGGACGCTACGTCGTACGACACACATAAGAGTTTAATAAAGAGACCGTAGACATGAATATTGAATATGAATGGTGATGAATACTGAGTAAAATCACCCGAAATCTTGGAAATTCAAGTACCTACGTAGTAACTTTATCTTTAGTCGTGTCAATTTTTGGGTCTGTTAAAGATTTTTTTGGTGCATTTTGCGTTCAAATACACTTTTTTCTACTATTTTTCATTATTAACATGACGAATCCTGTACAAACTTATCCTCAATTTCATCTTTTTAAGACTAATTTTTGCGAGAAAAGCTAGCCTAAGCCCGCTTCCTTTGAAGGATCGTTGATCCAATTATTTGCGTGAATTTCGGGGATTGAGCCCGTGCCTAGTTTTCTGATATCTTTATAATTTAGTTTATTAGTGAAACAGCAACACCGATAGAGGAGTGAGACTAGCATTTATATTACCTACCATCTGTTTTGATAGTCGAAATATTAAAAATCGTGTCATTAAATTTCTGAAATTGTCACCTTGTTGGGTTAATATAGTTAACAACGAACTTACCTAGTACACTTACCTATACATTGGCTCGATGGAACTACACGTGATACAAGAACGGTACTACAAAATAATTAACCATACATAATTACAAACAAAGTTGCTGTACCAGTGTGCCCTGAAATATAAGTTCGTGACTAACATTTCAGCGAATGCACATACTAGCCGCTACCAACTAATTGTACTTTAATAGTTTTAGAAAATGGCGACACATTTTGCGCCAGTGAGCTTTGAAATTAACTTTAAATCTATTTATGTCTCTAGAATATGGAATGCCCTTATGAATGAATATGTATTAAATTAATAAGACTGCTACTGATTCTAGATAAGTACATATCACGTTTCTTGTGCTTCTTTTGGATTGATTTTTCGGATGAGCCCTGGCAAAGGTCAACCGGAGCCCCGGGGCTCACAGAACTCTCTTTGTGAATAGCAAGTTTCAAGTAACTTCCGTAAGTTCCAAACACATTGAAATATTGTGTTTTCTATCTATAAACATATGTAGGTATGTATTTACAAAAAAAGTATTTAAGTATGTTTGTATAGGTTGTCTAGTACCCTTAGTTTAAGATTTGCTTACGCCCGTATTCAAAAACATTCAACTATGTCTCACAGTGCGCGTGGACGCACAGGGTGACACACCAACCAATCACAGAGCTCTATTCAACGCTGTACGTTCGATTTGCTGCTTCACTTAAGCAAGTGTCGTTTATGAATACGGGCGTTAGTTTGGGACTAAGTGAAGGCGCAGTGTATGTCCAAAGATAATAAGATGTTTATTTATTTTATTTATTTAAATTTAGTGATACTCACATACATACCACAGCATGCCGAGTAGCACCACAAACACCCTGTTTCTCTGCTTTCGCGATGTGAACACCAGCGCCAGTAAAATCATCATCATCATCATCACTACTACGAAGATCAGCGCATACCATAGCCATATTGAGCATAGAAGTACATCATCCTGGAAACAAGTTCTTCAAGTAAAAATGATGGCTGAAATTAATCAATCTACACAAGAAAAGTATCATGATTAAAATATTATAAGCTAGGTTTTGCCCGTGGTTTAGTTATTACTAACAACCATTCGTTCATCCATCCTTTGAAAACTTCACGTTAATTTAACTATTATTGGCTCTGTGCACGATTACAGCGCCAACTAGCGTCCACAACTTTGAGGGCTCTGTCACATTGACATTTAGGTCGTATATTTGTGAAAAAATATCGAAATGAAAAAATAACAAATATTTTCGACTAATAAATTGTTGTGATACCACGATTTGGGTGGAAAAAAGGTTTTGAAATCATTTTGGTCATTCATATCAAATGAGGTAAGTCCAAAAAATGTGTTTAATTTTGATTGTGTCAGGGTTTGTTTACTTCATTTATAGTTGTAGTTTTACAGTAAAACAAAAAGAAAAAGCTACTTTAACGGTTTCATTATATAACAGTAAATATATTTAAATGTTCCTGTATCGCTAGTAATAAATTAAATATCGTTTTCAGATCGAAATGAGTATTGTTTTGAAGACCGGGTTTGTGAGTGTTACAATATCAAATTCCAACCACAAACCGTATTTAAAGGAAAGTTGTTGGTATTGGCTGGACAAGTCCGAGATGTAGAAGAATTCAGAACAAAACAAGGGCAGAGTTCAATAATTCACGCTCTCATCATAAGGCAAACATCTGTGCACAACAACTAATGTGACTCATTTTTGTACTACCACGTTGTATAGTCTAGTTATTTCCAAATTGTAAACGGCTATTAAACCAGCCCTATCGAAATACAGTCCACTCTTTTATTTAAAGTTCCCAGTAGGACCCTTTTCATGCGATTAATTAATGATATAAAAATGTGTTATGTAGAATCGCTTTGCCATTGACAGATACATCTGATGGCAGAGCTTACATTATTTCTACTTTTGACCACCATGAGCGCTGCGATAGATTATGTTACCCCCACCTAGTACTTCGCACCCAGCGAATAGATGGAACTAGATATTACCTTAATTAGACCAAAGAACAGCACAATGCTAGACGCGAAATACAAAGCCACCAAAATCCAAATGGTGACAAGGAGGTAACTGATGGGCAGGAAGAAGGAACAGCCGTACGCCATTGGATGTACCTGAAATAAAAAATAAACAGTTAATGATAAAAAGAACTAAAAACTTTTGAAGTTTTCTTACTATTATGCTATTACACCATTTTTGAAAAATCTTCAATAAGCACTAAGTCAACACATAAAGGCGCAATAGGCCTATTATAATGATAAAATTTTATTACTAATGCTCACACGACGAAAAATACAAAAGACATCATATTTTGTATTTTTCGATGTTCAATTTTATTGGGAAAGACCGAGTGAAAAATGGCGCGTATATTTTCTTCTTCTTCTTATTTTGTATATGGCCAGGTCTGGGATGTTACGGCCGCGCGCTGACCTGTCCACATATTACAGAGCGGTGTAGGTACGCATACGGTACCTACGCATTTTAAATTAATTATGGGCCGATTTTTCAATCGTCAGTTAACTTTTATCTAAAGAATAAACTTGTCATTTCGACATATTTCCCATACTGAAAATGTCAATGTGCCCAACTTATTTCTCAGTTAAAAGTTATCCAACGATTGAAAAATCCGTCACAGACTCAACCGGTCACAGACTCAACTGGAGTTTCATTTCCCGCCCCCTTCGTCTCGCTCTCCCGCTCGCGCTGCACCCCGCATCGCGCCGTGCCGGCGTACGGTTTTGAGGGTCCGCACGCAACCCAAGACCGTCCGGCACAATGTTATTGTGCGAAGCTGTCTTCTATGGACTCATTATTAATTGTTTTAGCTGAATGGACAATCAAATAATGTGTATTGGTACTAGCGACCCGCCCTCGATTTGCACATGTAGATATTATAGGTACAAAATTTTAACAAAATTATAAAGATCATAAATTTAAAAAAAATCATTGAATATAGAATTTAGGAGCCTATTCAATACAACCTATAAAGTATTATGTATGTAGTAGGTAGATTATTTTTCTCATTTAAATATGCTTCAGTGCTTTACCTCTTTTTGTTTTAAGCCAATCTACTAATTTTCATCATAAGAGATCGATCAAGCCATTGCCATTCCAATATCCATTCCCTTTTGTGTTTTAATATAAAGAGTCCTTTCTATATTAACTAGGATATTGTATCCGAAATGTCTGTTAATAATGAACCAGTTCAGAATTAAGCCAGTGCGTAGTGTGGCCTATAATTGCTCCGTCGTCTGGAGATTATTTCCATCTGGCAGCAGCGGGCTTTGTCGGCCAGATTAGCCGATTTGCCGGCTCTGAGCTTCGCCCGGGCCACTCATGATAGCGCTCATAATACTTATATTTCACTTGTGACTTTATGAACAAAGTAATTTCTTCTTATTGTTTTTTTAATCATAAAGAACATTCATTTGTTCGTTTCAGCCGAATGACGTCCACAGCTGGACAAAGGCCTCCTCCAAGGATTTCCACAAAGACCGTTCCTGAGCCACCTGATGAAGAACATAATATTATTATATTCTTCGACTAATTTACGTAGGTAGGTATGTATTATGTTTATGAACAAGTGCTGTGGATTACGCGATTCATGCAATGCGCTATTGCTGTACAATTTATAGCATATAAGAACTTTTGCAAAATAGCGGAGCTAATTTACAATAACCTAAAATGCCTTATGCCACAGTGTACCTATGCAAATTTATTCCAAGATAAGCAGCGCCGGTAACACGCGATCGCAAAACTCGCGTTGACAGCACCTGAAATACTGCGGTATATACGGTCTCTTAAGTTTTAAGTTGTGAAAAAAATAAACGGAGCATAATCATTCATGAATGTGTCTGTCTAACAGTCTTTTACAGGTATTTATTAAAAAACTACTGAAAAATAAAACGGTTATAATAGGTAATATTCTCTCAACTAATAAGAGCTTTATTACTTTCTGTTAAATGTTAATTTAACTAAAATGAAAAGACACCAAACAGTTATTTAACCAGGGTTTTAGACAGCTTACTCAAAGTAAAATTTACAAAATAATGAAAACTTGAGACGGACTATGGACGAAAGGCGATTTCAGTAATTTATAATTAGTATACCTAGAAATTCTGTTCTGTTCTGTTCTTAAAGTACCTACAATAATAATTTCTCAAAGCTTCTTCAGATCCTAATCAGTGGGTGTAAAAAGCGAATAGCTTAAAGGCAAAAGGTATAAGGCAAAGGCAGCCACGTGTAAGTGGTTCTCGGAAAAGAGTGAATAAAAAAAAGGATTTTAATTTAAGGCTTTTATATTTTAATTACGATAGACGATTTAATTACGAGTCCATATGAGCTAGAAAATAGTTGACAGTAGCTTATGCACAATAATCACAGTGGAACAAGTACCTACCATAAACTAAACAACGCATGTGCTAATGGCTGCAGCATAACAAAACCATTCAAATATTGATCAGATTATACAGCTCTATCCCGCTAATGACTGCAAAATCCCAAAAGTACTACTTTTGCATAACTAAGTCACGTTTAACGAAGATGGAATATCAAAGGGTCTACTTTGTCAATCGATACATGGAGCTGTCTCGCTCAATACAGGCGTGATCGTATCAGGAGCAAAAGAGATAGATAGAGCTGAGAGTTTGGAAAATAATTTTCGGAGTTGGGCCTTGGTTACGGAACGTATTATCCGCTTATCCTTATTAGCGAAAGCGAATATGACCAATCGTAAAGCAGACAGAAACAGTAGGTCCATGTTTTAAATAACCACGTCTAATTTACAGTAGCCGGCAAAATTTACATAAGCTTAATTAGTACTTAGTTTTGCCATTGCAGCCTCTGTCTGCAAACTAGAACGGATTCTGTAACAATGTGTTTGTTGAAAATGTAAGTTTTCAGAAATAAACAACCTGAAGGTACTGCCAGAGAAATTATAGTAGATAAGATACACATATTATAAGAAACTGTTTGATAATATTTGTGCTTCATTCTATTCGCCTACGCCCTATTTCACTCTCCTACGTTAAAAAAGCGCGTGAAAATTGAGCCTGAATTTACTCTCCCTTACCACACTGTATAACGAAGAAGAGATAGCTAATAAGCGCCTAATTTTGCTAACGAAGAATTACGATGTCTCAGAGTAATCTTCACCAGAAGCAAGGCTCTAAGCCCTAGGAAGGACAGACGACTTTTATGTATTGGATTAAAGATATTGACTATTCTTGAAGTAACTTTTTAAGCAAAGGATACTTAGTGCCAATCCATGTATGGAAGTTGGACCAAGTGCTGCCCAGAATGAAACCATAGTGCATTTTGTTCCTCAGGCCAATACTAATTTGTAAACCGGAGCGCACTGAAATCTATCCCTGGAGTTAAGAGAAAAAAAGAGTTTTGTTTTGAATTATTTACATACAAAATATCATCAATGTATACGTACTACGCATAAGATTTCGCGACTTTGGCATAAAATAACACTCGCTATGTTGAACTTAGCCATACTGCATCCGTATACCCTACTTTAGTACCACTTCGACATTCTTTATAAGCAATCAAGCGCTGTTACAGTAGTTTGGTTAGTTGACAGAAATTAATTATTTCCAAAATGGAGCAAGAATTTTTAGCTTACAATAACTTTAATAATCGATTGTAATACACCAATAAATTGATTTTTTGCAAGGATAGAGAACTAAAACTTCTTGCTTCCTTTTGGAAATAATGAATTTCTGTCAACTTACCAAACAATTAAAACAGCGCTAGATCGTTTATAAAGAATGTCTAATTCGCACTAAAGTAACGTGTACGGATGCAGTATGGTTAAGTTCAATATAGCGAGTGTTATTTAATGCCACAATTGCGATATCTTATGCGTAGTACGTATACATATCGATGATATTTTGTATGTAAATAATTCAAAACAAAACTCTTTTTTTCTTTTAACTCCAGTTATAGATTTCAGTGCGCTTCGGTTTACACATTAGTATAGACCTGAGAAACAAAATGCACTATGGGTTGATTCTGGGCAACACTTGGTCCAGACCCTGGCACTATCCTTTATGTGGTACTGTCAGCATCAAATAGTTAATGACACCCAAAGTAGCCAATAACTTCGCAACACGTCGTTGTTATGGTTGGAATAAGGTTGTGTTATCAACTTTTTGGTCACGAACTGTTTAAGAGCGCTTTCATATTAGGGCGTTAATAGCGCGACAGTAGCGCGGCAGCGGCGTTTTTATAATGTGAAGAATCGGCGTAATGTGCGCACTTCCATATATGCCCATACTGATCAACTGCCCGACTAAACTATCGGCCAACGAAAAATCAATTGTCTGCGCATAGGCTATATGTAAAAGCGCTCTAACGCTGACTGTGTCTATATTTTCACATTAAAAGAAAAAAAAACGTCTAGAGGATAATAAATGCAAATTGCGAAGGAAGCAGATAGAATAACAATGAAACTAGTTGAGGAAACTCGGTTTGTTACGGCAATGCCAGGGAGAATCGTGCCATAAATATATCCGCCACGAATATCCCATCGTTAGCATATTATCTTGAGGATACCGTCTGGAGAGGAAAACCCTCAGGGCGATAGTGTATGAAGTGAAGCCGAAATGGATTCGGCACGAAATAATTATAGCATACTTACTCTTTCATACAAGGTCTAACGCCCGTATTCACAAACATTACCATGAAGTCTCACTGTGCGCGTGGATGCACAGGGTCACACACGAACCAATCACAGAGCTCTATTCAACGCTGTGCGTTCGATTTGCTGCTTCACTTAGGCGAGCATCATTTGTAAGTTACGTGCTGTAAAACGTGTCCAAACTTTCTCGAGTCGTAGTACTTAGACTTGGTATATTGGTCTATTTTAAGCAAGTAAGTTAAAACTTGATTGGTAGCTTGATTAATCACAAGAATATCACAAAGATAAAAAAATAAAAATAAAAGTATGTCGTACCGGCTAACATGTGCCTACTGTCAAGAATCATTAAGTAAAAAAAGAAACCGTAGCTAAAAGGTTACTGGATTAAGTGATATCGTAGCTGGTTCGGTCGGCGCAACTTAAAGCTTAGATAAACGCATTTGGAAAGTTGTAAAATTGAACCCAAATACACCTGTGTATCTTTTCCATAAAACTGGAACATCATAAATTGCGACGCAATAAAGATAACTGATTGTTGGAAAACCTGAAAAGGTGGGCATTGATTTTTGTCCCCCTGCCGAAGTTTTGATTTCCCCTAATCAAATTATCTGCGACCTTCAACGACTTATGATTGATTGAAAAGAAAATGCTATCGCTTCCATATAAATCTGTCTGCAAAGTTGTCGAAGTTTATCAGTGACGTACTTCATTCAATGTTCATTCAGGAACGTTGCTGTGTTTTCTTTGAAAGCTTAAGGTTATTGATCTTATAAATACATTTCCACTGTAACTGGAACAGTGATCCTTAGGTGGCCCCAAGAGTGGGCAGTGGGCAAAACGTAGGAGGGCCACAAGTGTTATTTGTTTGGTAACACATTGGTCCCGACGCTAGCGAGTATTTTAAGAGCAGAGCGTGAAATAGCAGACTTTAAGATGCAGTCTTATGTTTACAGCCACTGAAACTACGTTATGTTTCATAATACGGGTTTAGTTAGTCGAACGTCTGGCATATTTTCTTGAACAATGATTTACCGCAAGCCAAATCGCTCTCTATGCAGAATAGCTGATATGGCGCAAATGGTTTTCGTTTAATCTTCGCTTAGGAAGAAATAATGTTCTAGATTCCTACAAAGTAAAGGAAATAAAGTATTAACGCAGATTTTAAATATCACCAAAAGTATACGCTTATGTGTAACTGATAACAACAAACGACTACACATTTGGAGAGAAACGAGAATTTTATGGTGCTTAAGAAAGTTTATGGACAAAAAGTGTCATACGATTAAGGCCACCACACCAAAAGTAAAGTGTCTGATAATATTATTATGTCTCCTGTATGTATTATTATGTTCGTGTCAGTGCGTCTGAATAAAATCCTAGTACCTATCTCCTCCATTAGTATTTTCAATCTGGCGTTTTATTGGAAAAGGTTTATTTGCCATATCGAGAGTAGTAGTACATCGTAGAGTAACCAGTGCATCTACTGGATTGTGTTGTGACATTCTCGTAATTAAATCTATGGTCAATATCCAATCAAATCTACGGCCGATGCGGGCTCCAACTACTCCGGTATTATAACATTGAAGGCAGATTCTGGTTACCTAGCCTAGGAGTTGCAGCGGTGGCAACAATGGGCATAGACCCGTCTGCCCTCTTCAGAACTTCACAATTATAACGATATTAGCGGCCGCCCGCAACTTCGTACGTGTGGATCCCGTTTTACCCTCTTAGGGGTGGAGTTTCATAAAATCTGTTCTTAGTAAGCACTTACGTTCTAAAAGGAGCACCCATGCTAAATCATCAGTCAGTCCATCAGTCAGTGACCTTCGTTTTTATAAATACAGATAGATTCTTATTAACTCACCACACCAATAGCAGCTACGATCATCGAGCCAGTCTTCAAATCGATCCCAAAGAAAGAGTCCACATTAGGCAAGTCGTCCAAAGCCGTCATATTATTTCAGAAGTATTATGTTCCGGGGAGCCAAACAGCATTTGTAACCGTAGAATTAATAATATTTTTGTGTGTATTTTGCCATTAATATCGCTGTCAAGATGACAATTTCATCTGCTGGTGACAGTATATTTTTTAATGCTAGAAAAACTTTGTAAAATACCTATGCTGAAATGAACAGCTTCGAGCTGGTAAATAGAGACGTCAAAGTTTTATGTCTCTATATTTTCTGCTAAGGTGTTAATAATGTCAACAATTTTTTTCTGCTATGTTGCTTTAGTGCTTTTGGCGACTAATTTGCAGTTGCCAAACTTTTCTTTCATGCTATCCCAAAAACTTTTTGTTGGGAAAGATGTCGTAACTTCGTAAGTAATCGCTGATACTCTATTTCCGTGATACATTTTGTGACAAAGTTTCACACATTTTCTGTCTGTATACCAATAATCCTAATTTATTAGGAACAGAAACCTCCCTATTATTAATTATTAATTGCTGTAGGAGGAACGCAATATTTTAATGTGCATTGTTTGTGAAAATGCTAAAAAATAAGTGGACTTTACCCAGTTAATTAATATTTGGACGTGAATATTCGGACGTTCTTACATTCTTACATCCCCCTACAGATCGGATACGATCTTTTACAAACTGTACAAAGTCGTATTCGTCAACTTTTTCTTTATTAGGTACATAACACATAATATTTGTCACATTTTTCCCACGTAACACTCAACCTTGTAAGTAAGTCGCACGAGCGATTTTTCAATATTTTCCAACCTTGTGACTTTTTATAGGTGCTCGAACGTTTTCATTCAGCGTATTTTTATCGATAATAAAACTATAATATATTTTTTATCTAGAAGCGTAAAGCGTCTTAATGTCTTAATTTTTTGTAAAGATTAATCGGTAAACGATATTTTCAGCGCTTTTAAACGCGACACTTTCTTTAATGCCACCGGTGCGAACGGGGGCATAGGTCTTCAGTAGCGAATAAAGGGCACTTTTTGCAACTGTAAAGAAATGAAAAATTTCTCATGAATGGCTTAACACAAAAGTCGTTTCTGCAAAGGAAAAATGCAATCATATCTTTGTCCATCGTCCCGTGAACCGGCGCTGTCGACGCGGCGAACAAAGGTACCTAAGGTATTTCTTTGGCGCAAATGTTCATTAATCGATCAAATCGATAAATAATCAAAAGTTTCAAATAACACAAGTGGTGATAGGATGCTATTAAAAGTTACAACAGTTTCAATAGAAAAAATAATAATAGAAACGGCAATTTCACAACCCAACTTGAAACACCGACGACCGACATGAATCTCAAAAAGATTTTTTTCTACGAATTTCTGTGTAATGAAAACGCCATCAGTTAAAATAACAGAGGAAAACACGAACTTGTTTCATACTTTAAGTAGGTACCTATTTACAAAACACGTTGTGCTCAAACCATAAAAACATTACTTTGTTACTTCTCCCTCATTTCAAAAGTGAACACCACGAAAATGTTATTTTTGGCCCACGAAGCGAATTACAAAAATAAAAACCACAAAAGAAAAGTTGATTTCGTCGACAAAAACGTGACCCCCATTATATGTAGATATACGAATTCCTTGAAACTTTCGCAACTTTTCGGTGAAATCAAGTGAGCATTATTTTTCCCTCATTTAGGTAAGTACCTGATTTAACGTCTTGTTTTACAGTTTGTTGCCGAGGCGAGTGACGAAATTGCAATCCTATATATGCATGCAATGTTATAACAAATCTTATTAACACTTCTATAAAAACAGGTACTTATCCAGATAGCCTAAAGAAAGGTATAGTTAGACCTATATATAAAAAAGGACCTCACAATTGCTATGACAACTATCGGCCAATAACTATATTACCATCAATTAATAAAATAGTTGAAAAATACATATGTTGACTAATTACATCGTTTTATGAAACCAATGACGTACTTAATGATCAGCAGTATGGATTCCGTAATAACAAAAGTACAACTATGCTACTATCAAAATTTACTGATGAAATCAACGAAAATCTAGGTCATAAGAAACATGTCTTAGTTGTCTTTATCGACTATAGCAAAGCTTTTGACACGTTGCGACACCACACATTGATAGACAAGCTGGACGACTCCGGAGTCAGAGGTCCCCTACTGAAATGGTGCAAGAACTACATGGAAGATAGGAAATATGTGGTAAAGGTTGGTGAAACGTACAGCCGGCCAATTAGCATCACGGAAGGCACGGCACAGGGTTCCGTACTAGGCCCCTTAAATTATCTGACATATGTAAACGACGTTCCAGGAATCGTGACTGAGTGCTCCTTGTACCAATTTGCGGATGATACTTGCATTATATCGGCGGATCGAGATGTAGCAACTGCAGAAAGGAAATTACAGTATGATTTTACAAACTTATGTAAATGGTCACACGACATGGGTCTGGTTCTAAACGCTAGCAAAACCAAAATGATACATATACACTCCAGTCACAACAAACCAAGCAAGTATGCACGCCTACTGGTTCATAATCATAATTGCCTGCACGTTGAACAACCGGGATGCTCCTGCGAAGCCGTGGAACGGGTTAGCCAGCAGACATACCTTGGCCTAATCATTGACGATCGGTTCAACTGGGCCTGCCATATAGAAACCTTAATAAACAAACTAAGAGTTATCCTATCAAAATTCTATTACATCAAGAATAAAATACCGTATACAATTCTAAGAAACCTGTACCTATGTCTTGTGGAATCAATTATCTCGTATGGCATCACAAGCTATGGACGTACATATAAAACATACCTAGACAAAATATACTCCATACAACTCAGATTTCTAAAGTTAATAGTTCCTAAAAACATTAAACGCCAATTTGCAGATAATTATCACGAACTCTTTAAACACTGTAGAATAATACCAGTACACCAAAAAGTATACTATAGCTTGCTAACAGAACAATATCATCGAGAAGAACTACGCGTGCCAATAAAACATAATAAACTAACCAGAAAAGTAAAAGATAAAAAGGTCTCAACTATATCTGCTAAAAATACCTACGGTGCAAGAACCACTCAGTACATCGTTCCGAGACTGGTTAATCTCCTGCCAACTGAAATAAAAGAAAAAATAAACACTAAAAATATAAAAATTATACTTAGGAAGTTCTTTTATAATAATAATTTATAATCAACATACCGTCGTGTTGCTAAATACCCATTAATCTACCTAATCTATAAATATTAATTGAACTACAAATAACATAACACAATGATAAAACTTACCCTTAACTACCTTAATATAAATTACTAAAACTATAACAAAACTTTCCTCTGACCAAACTATGCACTTATTACACATCGTACACAGAGTCATACTAGTTTACTAACTAAAATAAAATAAAAAAAATATATATTTCTTTGGAACAAGTATAACTTGTATTACATAAACATGAAGACACCCTGTAGGTACGTTGCAAAAAAATAAATAGCGGAACGCTCGACCCGAGTCGACGTAGTATCGCGTCGTGCGACTCACCTCCAGCTGGCAAATTTATTGATACCTACCGCCTTCCTATAATATTAATTTTTATACTTATAAGCTATTGCGATGAATGTGCAATGTCACAACAAACATTTTTATGTTTAGTGATATAAGAAATGTTAGATTATAAGCCTAACCTTGTAATTAAATTAAATAAATAATAATAATATACAGCCTTTCTATTATGGACTTGAAATTGAAACGGAAAATTAATTTAATTAATTTTAAACGAATACAGTCTAAGATGGTAAAGTTTGATGTTGAATTTTAGATTAAAATTAACCCTTAAATTGGCACTCATCGAACCCTTGCTTCAAAAATGGTCAAATTTAGGATTTAGGTATTGTTTTGATAGATTAAGAAAAAAATATTTACTTTTTGAAAAAATTTCAATTAGTATAGAAGTTATGACATGTCACTCAAAACGGACATTGCCAATTATTTAGCATTACAACCATGTCACTTAGGGCGGACATTGCCAGTTTAGAAAAACAAACGTAAAACAACTTTTCTTAATAACAATACAAGAATCCCTGATAATCATCCTCTGGCTAATCCAGCGCCTTTTGCAATCCATCTGGACTATTTACTGTTGATTTTAAATAAATTTATCAAAAAATACCCTGACATATAAAAACAGAAACTGACTGCCTGATTTATCAACATAAATTCCAAACCGGTGGGTATAAAGATACAAAGTTTGGCATGTAGGTTCCTTATTAGGGTCTAGGGGTGTTACCAGAAAGGATTTTTCCAAAATTACCCCCTAAGGGGGTGAAATGGGGGTCCAAAGTTTGTAGGGCGAAACAAAATTAGTTACACTATTTAATTCGAAACTTCACAGGATACATTCCTATCGATAAATTAATAAACACGTGTTTCAGGTTATTTCAGAATTCAACCCCTAAAAGGGGGAAATTGGGTAAAAATGTCTAAAAATCAACATGAGTATTTATTACTGATACATGGCATTGTCCGTTTTAAGTGACATAACATTTGTAACCTTGAAATGAATGGAAAAAAATCGATATTTTTTTACAGTTTTGGCAATAACCGTCAGTTTTATTCGTTAATATTCTAAAATCAATCAATAAAGCACAAGAACAAGTGTAATACTTACAGTATTGCCACATTTATCAAGAGTGAAAACTTGACATTGCTGTTGCATTTATTCAACTGTCTTTATTTTTTAAATTCGCGGCTTTTTATGGAACTACAGCCCCGTGTTTCACATAAAATATCATGCTTTTTATAAAATATCCCTTGAAAGTCGATAAATTGCTTTAATTTAGATTCTGTAAGCAATTATTTGACATGTCCTTTAAAACGGACAAAAACAATTTAAGGGTTAAGAGCGTTTACGCCGTTTGGCGCAAAAACAGTACTTTTTCAACTCGTTACAATCATTAACCAGTAATATTACAAATATGTTATAGGCATAAATAGTTAGGCAATTTCGTCGTCTAAATAGTTAATTGAGAAAATATTGCGATTAGTTTAGTATTTAAGAATTCTATCAAGAAGAGTTTACAAG